CTGTCCAGATGATGCTGTCGGATGTAAGTTCTTTGGCCATTTCCTCACAAAGCATGACATTAACCTGTCCAAGTTTGCAAAAATGCCCCGGCTTGAAGTGCTCCCCACACTTGTAATAAAGATGATTATTCGCCCTATACTGAAACTCTTGAGGCGACATTTTCTTCACGTATCTGTTGCCAAAACTTCTATTTCCAGAATGTTTAATACCAACAGAAACATTAGTACTCTGACTATCCAAAGGTATATTCTTTTTATCATTTTTATACCCTATCTTAGTTTCAAAATTTGAACCAACAGAGGTTGACAACTGGTTTCCATTGCCTTTATTACCAAGCTTAATAGGTTGCAGAACAGTTTCCTTTCTAGCAGCAACGTCATCAGAATTCCCAGGCAAACTACTAGACTGACCAGAATCAAGATGACCAACCCCATACAAAGCAGATAAGTTCTGTCCCTGATACATAGCGTTATCAAAAACAACAGCTAAAGTCCTAGGGTTAAGCATTCTAACCATTGGCTTAATGGTTTCTTTCAACCCACAAATGAAACAAGCAACATAGTAATCTTCATCAAACTCATAGCCTAAATGTAACAATCTGGAACGTAGTTCCTCAAAATGTTCCTGATATTCACCAACAGTTCCAGTCTGAAATAGTTTACTAAACTCCTCTACGCAACTCTGTCCACACTTATTACCAAATCTTTGAATCAATAACTCGGAGAAGTGGGTCCAAGAAAGCTTACCGACAGATTTACTGATACCATGGTACCATATCTCAGCCTTCCCGTCCAGGAAGATTTCAACAGAATCCACCTTTTCAGCCTCTGGTATCTGATGAATCCGAAAATATTTGCGGCACTTTTGAAGCCACACCAGTGGATTATCTCCCTTGAACTCAGGCAAATCAAGACGAGGCTGAACAGTATCACCAGCACGTGGCTCAGTTGTTTTCTCTGCACGCGCTCCCTTGGATGAACTGGCCGGCGTGAACCTCATCCCCTTCTCAATGGCAGCCTTGTATGATACCTTCACTGGATTAGAGGCCTTCTGAGAGTACGGAGACCGGTTAATTGCTGACGTAGACGGCGAAGCAGATTCTTGCACCGGCGCCTTCTCTGGATTCGGCATCTGGAGCGATGATAGCTTCTCCATGATCAGATTGAATTTCGCATCATTCTCAGATCAGATTCAGCGATTCTCTGCTTCATTCGCAGCAATCGAAGCCACCAATTGCTCAATTCTTGATTCTAGGGTTCCGATTCTAACTGAATTCGTCTCAGAGAATGAATCCTTCATCGTTTCCTCAACAACAGTACGGGAACGAGTCATCTTGAGACTTAAGATTCGGAATATTGAAGGATTCAAGAAATGAAACGAGTAATCGAAATTTCAAGAATTCGATCGGAAAATGAACCAGATCGAACAGAAGAACTATCGCGAAATCGAAGTATTCAAATTACGCAACAAGAGGAGCAGAGAGACGATTTCCAAAGAAGGAACGAAAATCGATTGATCGGAAACAAAATCAATTAATTCCGAGAAAGATAGAATCAAACCGAATGTTGAAGATTGAATCGAATCCAAAACTCGAACTGGAAGGGAAATTTTTCAGAGAGAATAGTGGAAGAAATGGAAGAGCAGCCAAGGAAAAACAGGCTCTGAGGCTAATCTGTCAGGTTCCGGTGGCGGAATCGACAGAAATGGAAAATCTCCGGTAAATTGGAGGTGGTGGAAGGGCGTTTAGGGTTGGAAACCCAAAGAGGAATTGGGAACGTCACACAATTTCAATGAAATCAATTCAATACACTATTATTCCATAATGTCTTTTAGCCCCGGTTTGACTATTTATAGTACCGATATTTACAATAATTCTAACTAGGTCCCTATACTAAAGAACTGAGACAATTAAATCCGGTTCGTGACAGGAAACAAATTACACAACCCAACTCATAAAAACTAGCCCATGAACCCTCAAACCTACAAATTTAACTTAAATCCAAAAATGATTTTGGGCTGGAAACAATCTCGGCCCAAAGGGGCAGTTAAACCCCACAATCTAAACCTTCTTATTTAGCCCAGTATTTGGACATTTAGCACCATTTATCATCATCCTCACCTTGGATCATCATCAATTCAACTTCTTCTAGCTTTAAAACTAAAAAATTTGTTGCCATTATTGTATCTGGCTCCACAAGACTAAGTGGTACAGTATTTGCACTAAATAATTTTTCCTAGATAATGGTGAGGGGTATTTACGTGAAAGTTTTTTAGTTGGGTGGTAGTGTAGGATTTATCCTTTCCTTTCTTTTCTTTTTTTATTTTATTTTATTTTATTAAACTAGATATTTATGAAAGTTTTGTATTCTCGATAAATGCTCGTTTTGGTCCCTAATGTTTAGGAGTTAGCCTAACCTAGTCACCAAATATTTTCTCTATAATTTTAGTCCTCATAAAATTTTTTCGTACCACTTTTGGTCTTTTTAACGAAATTCGAAGGGAACTACCCGTTTTTCGTTACATGCACAATATTATATTATTTTTTTTCTTGACAGTGAGTCCCACTAATTTTGACCCAGAAAAAGAAACATAATAAAAACTAATTTTGGTCTCTAAAGTTTAGGAAGTCCAACGATTTTAGTCACCCCAAATTTTTATTTCATCATTTTTAATTCTCGTAAATTTAATTCTTCAACTATATTTACTCGTTTTATTTTAATTTAAATTTTAATATATTTGGGGCCTCACATTTATACACAGTGTCAACAACACGATACTCGTCATACCCTTCGTAATATTCATTGATGTGATCAATAGCGGCCTTCATATGTGTTTCTACCTAGAACAAGAATAATAAAACATAATAAAAAAAAATCAGTAACCGTCACCGTCTTGATGATAAAGAAACCCTTCATAAAGTAAGAAGTGTACTTACCTTTTCCAGTTCTCTGCGAGCCATTGCTAAGTTCAAAGGTGATGAGCAAAAGATGAAGTTCTTGAACGTGATGAGTTTGTGGTGATGAGTTTCCGCCTTACTTCCAGTTTTTATATAACGGAGAAAGTCTTCAATTTAGTGGAGGCGTAAGTCAATTTGCAAGATGAATATCCAACAAAATGACGTATGTAATCATTCCAATAAAAAGTTAAGCCATGCACTAGTTGTTTGGTTCCATATACAAACAAAATTACTCACAAATTTCACATGAAATAGTGAAAAATTCAATCCCCCAAAAGAAAAAGAAAAGAAAAGAAAAAAAAAAGAAGGCAACACTACTCGTAAAATGTAACAAATTAAGTAAATAGATTAAATAGAAATCTCTTTTCTCATTTTTCTTCACTTTCTTTTCTAATAATAAAAATAAAAAAATGACTGGTTACATTAAACTTAAAACCATGTACGTAAAATCATCATGTCTTGGTTTACATATACAATTCAATCAGAATTCACAAGTGAGAAGTTCCAGAATAATTAACCAAAACAAGGCCATGGTTGATGCCCAACATCTCTTCAAGCAACAGCTTGAGCGCAGACACCTATACTACCTATAACTGGGTCCTCATTCCCGTTCTCGCTGCTTCTTATGCATGCAAGACAACCCCCCAACGAAGGTGTGGCCTTCTAAGTACTAGCCAAACCCTTCTTTTTCAAGCCGGCCAGCTGCCACCGCGAGTTTCAAAGCTCAAACCTTTCTTTGATTCTATAGAAGGGGGAGCAGAACTTTTTGTTTATAATAAGGACTGGAGAGAGAACAAACTAGTCTAAATTATATGGTTCGCATTTCAGCATTATTAATAAAGAATGGTTGACTATAAAAGTGACCCCTAAAAAACCAAAAAAGTCAAAGTCAATGAGCTATTCATAATGCTATGACATCTATTTTCCTTGTTAAAAAAGGGAAAAAAAAATAAAATAACAACAGGTGTCATAACAGAGTGAGTACACTAGATTATGAAATATTCATTCAGCTATATATTAGTGTAATGTAATTGGGCCCACCCGGGCGTACAAATTAAATCTAATGGTACAAATCAGTACAATCGTGGGATAGAAAGAGCTATGGGCCTAATACTCTTAGATCGTCCAACAATCTTTATTACGCGTACATCGAAAAGCTGGCTTGTTTGTTAATGTTGGAGTGAGAGTGAGAGAACAAACAATATTCAATAACAGTTGCTAGTTTTTTGTGTAATTAATTTTGGAAGAGGAAGCCATAAATAATTCAAAATATTCCAAGAGTACTCAATCGATTATTGTTGTGCCCAAATCATGTGTGCAACACTGCAAAATAATGAAATAAACAGATGAGTTACAGTCTTTTCGAAAAAATATATATAAAAAAAAAGAGTTACAGTAAATTCTAATGTTTGATTTATGCCGATTAAAAAAATTACACATTAGTAGTATAACACATTTGTCGATTTTGACTGTTTTTGACACATTAATGATTTTTTTTTTTTACTTTTTCTTTGGGGTACTAATGTACTGCTGCCTCCGTCCCATAATTATTGTCCAATTTTACTAAAATGAAATATTTTATTTTTGGTCAAACTTAACTATATTTTACCTTAAACAACCGGATATACCCCTACATAAGTAATTGTTTAAACACTAAAATGTTATAGATAATATTTTTTACTAAGGACAAATGTGTAACTTGATCCATAAAAAGTCAAATTGGACAATAATTTTGGGACAAAATTTTTTGGACAAAGTGGACAATAATTATGGGATGGAGGGAATATGATTTTCTTCCCACAAAATTGTGATCCGGGTAAAAAACCAAATCATGGTATCCGGGTCACCAAGGGAAAACGGAGCCTCGTGTTATTTTCCTAAATTCCACCGGCTCCTCCCTATGTAACCATCTCCGTCATACTCGCCGTCATCGACCCTGATTAACACAGTTAAACCTCTTCCCTCTCCTTCACAAAGAATAATTCCGTACAGATAAATATCTCTGCAATTTTCTTGTCGTCTTTTTTTTTTTTTTTTGTTTTTCCTATCAGAAAGTTGTTTCTAGCAGAGCTGCCGACGGATTTCCTCATCTATTCCTACTGTGTGAAGGTTTTGATTGTATGCGCTAGTTTGTGTCCTATATATCATTCATTAATTCGGAACATTGGAAATCGTTTAACCATGGCGGTTGAATTTTAGATAAAGTTTGGTCGGTTAATTTTCAGAAATCTAAACTGCGTATTGATGGTTCCACTTGAAATTTGTTATCTGAAAAGTAGGGTACGGGAACTAGTAATATTCTTTTACATCAATGTATGTGCATTTGAAACTCTGTTGGTTAAGCTGCTGGTTAAGAAGGGGTAGTATGTTGCTGGAATTTTTCATTTGCCTTCAAAAATACTAATTCATTTGGTCGGTTTCGTGAAGGTCTATCATCTTTTTAACTTTGGTTTTTTGTGAAAGGTAGATCCAGAGTTGAGAACATATTTTCTTTAAAAGTCTTTAGGTATCCAATCAAAGAGTTAGAATTATAATCTAATCAACAATTTTTCAAAACGAAGAGAATCGAAACAAATCAGGAAAGTTAATGTATTATTTCCGTTTCCATATAATTAAGATTAGGTTTCGTAGGAAAGCATGTAACCTTGAAGAGTGCAGGGGCCCAAAGATGGAGACTACTGGCAAAGAAGAGGCTCAAATGTTTCTGGACCGCTCTTCTCGTGCCACCAGAGGCAAGCGGTAAGCTTATTTGGAAATATATTCACACTTTCTGCATTTCTATTCTGTCCATGCTTTTTTCTAATAGATTTTATGTTGGTGTGATTAAGGATGACAAAGTTGCTAGATGAGGAGATTGAAGAAGATGAAGCATTCTGGAATCAGGAAGCTCTTAAAGAGGTGCTTTCTGCTGCCCTTTTCTCCCCTTCCACTTCTCTTTGCTTATGTTTACAGATGCGAGATGTGATGTGTATTTTTGGCTTTTATGAACATTATAAGAAACGGTAAAAGGATAATAGAACATCAGATAGCAGTTAAATGATTGATAACTTGCTGGGAGGCTGCTTCACATGGAAAAAGAATTCAGACAATAATGCATGTTGAGAAGCTAGTAGCTTGATTCTTTCACTTTTTAATCTATATTATTTGATGGATTTTTTATGGATGCATTTCTCAGGAGGAGCATGACGTTGAATATGAAGAAGAAGCAGAAGTTGCAGATGTGTTTGACAGTGACTTTGAAACAGATGTGAGTTCTTATTGTTTTGTCCATCTTATGATTCATTGTTTCATAATGCTGCTCCCAGAATACCTGACTTCCTAATTCCAAGTGGAAATCTTGATAAGGGGATGTCCTTTAAGTACAATCCTGCTTCCTTATTCAAGAACAAAACCTAACCCTTCATTCTACTACATGGGAAGAATTACGCTCGTGTGTTGTGGAAAAATATTGGTCCTGATGATTTAAGCTTATCAATTTTCCTTTGGCCCTAATTTACCTCAGGAATCCGAACCCGACGATGAAGGAGAAAAGGAACCAGATGAGAGGTTTGGCTTCTTAATATGAACTGAGGATATACTTTGGAGTGTTCTACTATAATTTTATCTCATCCCCAATGTGCTTTGTTGTGGCAGGATTCGACCAAAAAAGCGACTAATATATCCCGGAAAGACTTTAGCAAAGAGTAAGAAGAAAAAGAAGGCCCCGCCTCAGGTAGAAAATGATGCTCAAGATGAAAGAACTCCTGAGCAGTCCACCCCTTCTGAACACCATGATGGTGCTGAAGATGTTGAAGCGGAAAGGACTATCCGTAAATCTACAAGGACTGCCGTTGTCGTCAGGCAAGCTGAGAGGGATGCAATACGTGCGGCTCTTCAAGCAACAATAAAACCGATAAAGAGGAAAAAAGAAGGAGAAGAGAAGCGGATGACACAAGAAGAGATGCTTCTGGAAGCCGCTCAAACGGAAATTGTTAATCTTAGGAACTTGGAACGTGTCTTGGCTCGGGAAGAAGAAGTTAAGAAACGAGCAGTAGTTCATAAAGCTGTTTATACCGGGCCTCAGATACGGTATCTTTCAAGAGAGGGTGCCAACTTCCTTGTGTATATGAATGGAGCATCATTTGAATCAGAGATCTCAACAAAATCAACTCCTCGTAAGTGTAATCAATTTTCATTGCCACATAGGATAACTTCGGTGACTTGCATGTATATCGCTGTTTTAGCATGAAACTCGAGCACTGTTTGTATGGCCTGTGTATCTTATTAAAATCTTTCTTTTTCTCGTGCTTACATGACCAGTCAATTGGCTTCAGCTTCACATAAAACTGTAGCGTTGTTTTAGAGAATCAGTTCAATTCCTCGTTTCCAAATTGATGTATTTTTCCTATTACCCTCTTAATGATGATTTCTGCATTACGCAGATCCAGAAAAAGCAGTGTGTGGGGTCACCGGATTACCAGCAAAATATCGCGACCCTAAGACTGGCTTGCCTTATGCGACAAAAGAAGCCTTTAAAATAATCCGAGAAAGGCTTTCTGATAAAAGTAAGAACATGTCTTATAAAAGAAGTATGGGATTCCTGGGTGATGCACTTCCTGAACAAGGCTTTCCTAAAAAACGAAAGAGAACAATGGTTTCAAAGAAGGAAGCATCTTATTGGCGACCATTTGCTCGTTTCCGCAGATTTCCAGAAGTAGAAGTGGAAGAAGAAGAAGAAGAAGAAGAAGAAGAAGAAGAAGAAGAAGATTCAGAGTAGATTTTTAGCATAGCAACCTTGTCTATTAGTCATGTAAAGAGCAGCTTCCATATGATTTTAATCTTTCAACTATATTAGTCTCATACACTTCATCATCGTCTATTCATGTCAAGAGTAGCTTCCATTTGATTTTAATCTTTTAATGATTTATCTGCATCATCAGTTGGTCGCACCCGTATTTCCCATGTGGAGACTGGCCTCGGAGAACGACCAGAAAAGTAAAGGGACAAATTTAATCTACAAATAATTTCAATGATTTTTCTGAAATGCGGAGATTTTGTGTTAATGGATTCCCCAAAAGAAATTGAACAAGCACAACTGTTTGTTTTCCATGTGGGTATACATTTTTCCTTTCCAAAGTGCACGAGGATACAACTTGCAAGTGTAATTAGTAAGCTAAAGATGTAGAGGCGAGTAGCCCTAATTTGTTCATGGCCAATGACACAAACACATTACTGTGTTGGAGAAACTTCCTCAGCCGGATCAAAATTTTATTTCCAACTCGCTGGAAACACTGGTCTTTGCATTCTGCTACAAATGAGATGACATACGCTGGCTGGCCAAGTGCATATCGCAGCAGATTACAACTTATCTTTCGTTGCACCTAATCTATCTTCAACTGCTGTACACTGACAGATCATTCAGGTATCAAAGTAGCACTAAAATACATTTGTACACATATTTGACAACTTGTTAGATTTCGCGTTGGACCTCTCCGAACATCACAGCCAGACTTTTATCCTCCAAACACCAAGATTAGTGTAAAGTTGATAACTGTCTAGTCAGTCACTCCCTTGAATTGCTTTCCTAAATAATGGGCGCAGAATAAAATCAAGAGATTAATTATCAGTGTGAAGCTCCACCAGTGCGTACACTTTGCCCTTGAATCAGGCACTAATAAGTGATCAACTTCGATGTGAAGCTCTCCTCCCTGAAAAATGTAAAGCATTGAATCAATAACAGTAGCAAAGAGTGGAGGGTTTAAGAATCTGGTAGCTATATCAACATCTTTGCTTCATCCATAACATTAGGAAAATGCATTCTAGTCCCAGATTCATCAGAGAAGAAAGATAACTGCCTCTGTATGAGTAACCAACAAATGGAATCTGCAGTACCCAAGGTACAAAATGAATTCCCACAATGATTAATTCACCCTAAAATCTAGCAGATATATTTGACAATGGATCAAATGAAATCAGAGAATTCACACATACCCTCGGCGCTAAAATTGTTTCTCAGGAGTGCGTAACAACTTCAACAATCAAACCACATTACTCACACATGCTTAAAGATTAGCTTTGGTAAAATAGATCAAAGGGACAGGATAAAATGGAGAGAAACAAGCTTCTGATTTTCTACTGCATGATGGAGGAACATGGACTGACCACAGAGACAACAAATCTCAAATTTTGTCCATCAACAAGTGAAAGAAGCCATGCTCCAACAATTACTGCTTATAAAAGCCCTAACCTTCAAGTCGCTTAATCACTTCCAGTTTTTGTCTGGATTGGACTCTTTCCAGATGAGGGGCAACCAATTCATCTAACTTCACCAACCAAAAAGCAATTGCGGATGATGTCTGCGGCATGGATGGAAAACTGGAGACAATCTCTTCCAAAACAAAACTTGTTTCTTGAGATTTATCATATTGGTAGAACATGTCCTCGTTGATAGCATTGACAAAGTCAGCAATAACCTACAAGAGAGTATATCAAGAAAATTTGTTTGTAGAAGAAAAATCAACTCAATTTCTTTCAAGCAAGAACATGAACTAAATTGACCAGGGCACATTGCAACTTGTTCCGTGATGCACGAACCAAATTAAAAAAACTTGATGTTCAGTATGGCAAACCCACTTAAGTTGAAAGATGAATGGATTCCTCACCTGTAAACACTCAGCCAAAGTTGAAGCACGCCGTAGTCTTTTGACCCAAAGATTGTGAGTAGATCTGGCCCATGCACCAACCATGAGTTCATCAGGTATCACCAGCTGAAAAGTGCAAACAACCATTCAGATACAAAATAGCAGAAACTGAAAATTAATGGCATGCACATACAAACTGAAGACAATATCTACGTGAATCCTCCGTTTGAGTTCCCCAGATGAGACAAAAACTCCGTCTTCCACAGAATGCAGATCCACACCCTTACGACTTTGAATTCTCTTCAATCACTCTTTTAGCGCCAAAGTAGATAAATAAATTTACAACAAATTTTGAAGTTCCTTCAACCAACTAGAAATGGTTCCATTACCCTATCGTGAAGAAGAAGCAATCTATTTGGCACCTCAGCTGATGTACTTATACCACCTTAAGTCAACATATTCTGGACAACTAATGGTCATGTAAAAGAAACAAATAATATTTTGTCCTCAGGAACAAGGAATATCTCTATCTATGTTGCTAACCTAAATACTCCCCAAATAGAAACCATCACCCAGCAGCTTAACTAAAATCATGAAGTTTATAAACAAGGATTTTTTAGAAAAATGGAATAACGAACAAAAGAGCTCTAAACATTATAGGCGTATTGAGAGCAAATAGAAATGTTATTAGTTTATTTTCTTCCACATGACAAATAATGGATATAAAGCCCACCTCTATTGACGAAAGCGCAGCTTTAAGTGCTTGCAACTGTGATGATAACACTTTATGTTTTGGGAACTGATCAATATTTAAGTCTTCCCGACATGTGGCAATATGAATGGCAAATTTCTCTTCGAGATCAAAGTCAAGCTCAAATGTTGTATGACAGATTGTACAGTGCTTCTCATCTCTCCAGTAGAGGTCACGGCAGTGTTCACATCTAGTAAGAGAATCAACATAGGACTTTTTCCCATGCTTAACCGTTTTAAGTTCGAAGTAAAAGGACTTCCATATCCATCGGTCAAATGCCTGAGCACGAGCCCATTTATCTTTCTGCTGTTGCGTTTTCCTTCCCTTTTCACATGCAATGGCAGCAGAAGTAGCAGCATTACTCTGCATTTCAACCAATGATGAGCTGTTGTCCACATCAGAGACAGCCGATGAACTATCCTCTCTTGATATATTCTGGTCAGACTGATCAGATTGTGTTAGTTGCCCGATTCCAGATGAAATTACTATATTAGACATTGCTTGGCAGAGATACAATTCTCGCTTTTCCAGGGATGATAGGAGGAATGCCTCCCTAACACCCCTACGGTCCAAAGCTGACACTAAACTACACAAAGCCTGCAATTATATTGACACGAACATAAAAGTTAAAAGGCTGAAAGAGTAAACCTTTATATGGCTAAGGTGGAAACAATATTAGTACAGAAATCAAACATCTAGAAAACATTACCTCCTCATTGTTGATAACCTCCCAGTGTCCATCATCCGAAGATTCAAAATATATCCTCTTATGACCTGGATCACGTCCACTACAAGGGCCTAAGAAAAGCCAGTATCTATTATACCTGCGGTCAGAACCCAGATAAATAGACTGCATAGGATGCAAATCATCTGAAGCTCCCCTTTCTTTATTTGTCCAGCTTGATGAATTTTCTCTATCATAATTCTTTGACATGGGAATCCTAGAATCAACAGGATTATGCCCTGAAGTTGCATTCACATCTCCATGGTAAAGCAGCAGTGCGTTGTACCCCCCCCCTTGAATGGGTACACAATTCTGCTTTCCTGTTGATCTCTTAATTTTGGCCCCAGATCCATGACCAACTTTGGGAACAGACGTAGCAATTGCAGATACAGGATCCTGCTCAGAAAGTTGATACACCAATTAACTCAAACATTACATTGCCCCATATTAAAAGTTTGATGTGTCACTATACTAATAAAAGAACATATATTTTTAGAGCCCCAAAAGGACAAATGGAACAGTAAAAAGAGCTCAAATTTTATAAAGACAAATTTAAGCGAAAATTACAGATAATGCCTATTGAGATGAAGTGGGTTGTTACTCATTTAAACACAGGTAAAGTTATCATGAACTAAATAGATAAATAAGGAAACAACAACAATGTAACAAGGATTGGACAAAAATTTATCTCTGTACGATGAAATAAGTTTACCTCGATTCTGCAACTTGATCCAGAGCTGAGAAGATCAACCAAGGCCAATAAGGCACTCAGCTTCTCTTCAATGCTTAAGTCTGAATATTCACCTTCCATCAGACCCAAACACCAAGCTTCTCCTGGGTGGCTTTCATCAATTTCAGTGCACGATGCTAAAATGTTCTCCTTAGATGAGCGAATTTTCTTTTGTTTAAGTTTAAATGAACTGCAGCTCCTCATCTCGCACTCAGAATCCTCAGAAGTATCACTTAGATCAAGGTCATCATCAACACTGCCAAAGTCTTCAGAATCAGATGGGCTATTTCGAGGTTCCTTTGCCATAGGATCAACACGCAAACGGTATCCAGAGACAGAAATCTTTTCGAATAATGTAATGTCACTTGACAGCGTTGAGCTTATAAGTAGCTCTAGTTCATGGGTTGCAGCAGCAAGATTCAGATCCACAATCTTCACACCAGAATGACAAATACCTTAATAACTAACAAAATTCACAGGCAGACAGAATGATGAGTATTTTTATAAATTATTCCTTACTGACTTACCGATGGAATTTTTGCCAACTCCGACACTTTCATTCCTTTATTTCCTTGGGTTAGCAGAGTACTAAACAATTCACCCTTCAATGTACCAGGAGTTAAGCCATACTTTGCCATAAAGCTGACCTCCTATAAAATTTAAAGAATCGAGTGAAAAACGGGATTGTTGTAAGTTGAATAACTTATTACATCAGGAGCAGAGATCAGAAACATAAGCAAAATGAAACTCTTTGAATGAAATTGTAAGATATCAACCATAATTAATTGAATAGAATTGAACACTGAACATCAGAGGCAGCAGGAGGTAATCCCTCCATAAGAAGATGAAGTTGTTTCAAGATTACGAACAAAGTGAAAGCTTCTCATGACATGTAAGAGAAAACAAATAAAATTTTAGCTGCCTCCGCATTCTGAACATGCAATGCAGGTTATAGATTGTGAAGAAAACTAGGCGATAGATCACATAAATTTGAGTTTCTTTAATTTTTTTTAAAAAAAATCAAATTTATATAATCTGTCAAAAAAAGGGGGTGGTAAAGAAGTTCCCCAAGAAAAAAGAAATACCTTTTTGGCTTCCTTAGAAAATGTACCGAGCTTAGAACCAAACCCAGCAGCAACAAGCACTTGGCGCATTATTTCAGTCCAAGTCATGGCATTCAATGCCTTTTGCCACAATTCTAAAAGAAACATTTTTTCATCAACCTGCCAGAATACGGAGGACAAGGTTTAAAATAGTATAGAAAAGATTCATTTGACAAGTACAGCCCCATCCTACTATATAGGGGCATGCATCATCATTCAATAAGTGCAAAGCTCCCTTGTATTTCGATTCCATATAATGAGTATAGTGCTTCATTTGATTTCAATCTCTGTTCCTACATCTGGAAGAGTTTCAAGTAGAGGTTTGGGCAACCAAGTTTCTCACGAATGTACTTTTATTAGTCTTCTGTAACAAATGATATTTCTAAAAAACATGAAGATGTATATGTTGGTTAAAAGTATATTTGGTACCCAATCTTTGAAAAAGTGGCAAAGTAGGTTCCAATCTTATTTCAAAAGTACATTGCATCCTGGGGTTGTGGCAGTTCCTTCGACAGTGAACAGAAAGAGCATGTGGAGACAGAAACTAGACAACTCTGTTGAATGTGATCGAGTTTAATGGCTTCTCAGTAACCACCAAAAACATGACACTCACAACATATGATGAAAAATGTTCTTTTTGACAACACAAGTTTTAATTGGAATACTTACCGAGCGAAGCAACTGTACAAACTTGGAATTTTTACAGGCATGAGAAAAGTAAACGCTCTTGAGCTCCATTTCAATGTCAGATAAAAGAACCTTGAGAAGAGCCACATGAACTTGACCCAGCAATAACGAGTCCTGGTTTCAAGAAAACAAAATTTACAGACCAAACATTAAGAACTTATGATAAAAAGTATAAAGAGGCATGAGATGGAACGAGCCAAGATCATAAACGTTTTTCGACATAAGAACTAGCACTCACCTGATCTTCAAATGCTATGGCAAACTCATCAAAGGTAAATGATGTGACATTAATAATCACAGCATATGTGCAGAGGAAATGGAAGACCTGCGATAATGAATTGAACAGTTTATTTTTTTCAATTAAATTAAAATAGCCAATGGAGTATACATTACAGAGGAAGGAACAATTCGTAACAACAGACATGCAAAAACTACAGTAAAGAAATCATAAGAGCATGGGTCTTACAAGATATCAGTTCTCAACTCAGACACATTCCAGATGTGTTGACATGGAAAAGATGAAATAAGCAGGAACATAAGTTGTGTAAACTGTAAAGGGTATCAGTTACCTTCAGAAGCTTCTTTACTAGCTCTGGAGAGGAATCCCAAGGTTGTGAATACAATGGCAATTTCATTGAGACAGAGTGTGGAGGGAACTTGGCAAGCAAATCTAGCCAAAAAAACAAAGTTGTAATCATCAGGTCTGTACTCACCCTAAGGTCACTCTAATATTCAAACTGACTCCATGGAAGGAAATTACAAATCCTTCCCACCAGAAAGTACCAGACTAAAGCATAACAGCAGGAACAAGAATTGGGTTTAAAGTTTATTACAGCACAATGCCATCATGATTTCACCTTTGCAAAGGGAACAGCCATGCAACCCATTATTTGCAAAATGTGCGGAGCAAGTCAATGGATTCGGTCCTGCTTGTAACTCTCTGAGCTCCAACTCCTCATCGTCGACCAGCGCTGCAAATTGGTCAATGTTTTCTTGAGAACCCAACCATTCAAGAGAGAGCTCACACTTATCTTTGCGAGGTTCCTTTGCCTTCTCAAATTTGTCATTGCCACCCTGACAATTCATATCAAACAATCAAAATGAGATAAATGACAATGCATTGCTAAATAAACGGCTTCTAAAAATATCCTTTTACGACATATAATGGAGATGTACCATGTCACGTATTTTCTTCCGACATTTTGTAGAAGGCTTCTTTTTCTCCAACAATCTTTTTTTCTGCACAAAAAAGAATGTTCAAGTTGGGATAAAGGCTTTGCGAACAGCTCAAAACAGATATAAGAGAATACCAAATTTCTCATTTGAACATATGGTAGGAGACCGGTTAGTATAACTGGGAGGCACAGTCCTCCTAGCCCAAACTCAGCAGACATGACTATTCTATAACTTAAGTCCCATTCAAGAAAATGCATCATCTATTTTTCAAGAAACTTTAAGGTTTTTTAACCTATTTTTGAAGAGTAAAATATTGTCAAGACGACATACAGCCTAAACAATTTGAAAACAAATACGAACCATAAGTGTCTGCCAGCGTTGTAAACTCTTCCTTCTCTCGGGGACAGATCTTTTAGATCCAAAACTTCCCTTACTAGCAGGAGGACATCTCATTTCAGGGTTCATCAACCGCCAAAGTGTCATCAGACCTTTCCCAGCTCCATGTCTCATCCCAGGGGTATTGTTCTTAGTCATCAAACCTTTTCCCTTGCCATGTCTTCTCAGACCATTTGCAGTCATGAAGCCTTTCCCTATCCCGTGCTTACAACCTGAAGCACTGCTGCCACCTTCACCAGAATCACGCACATTTGCTGGATAACTTTCCTCACATATCGGTTGGTAACTCAGAGATGCTGAGATCTATGCACAAAAAAAAAAAAATCATTCATTCAAACATTTATAAAGTCCCATTATATATCCTGAAAAATCACATTAAAAAAAAAAAGAAGATAGTTTCATAACTTCATTACCTTTTGCCTTTTGAATGCTCTTTGATTCTCTTGGCAAGCACGGTGAGACTTTCTCGAACCTTATCAGACCATAATCAAGGTATCAAAGGATGCGCAGAAAATGTGAAGATATGATTACAATAAAGGGGAAAAAGAATAATCTGATGAATCTTTCCATTTCAAAAAAAAAAAAAATCCAAAATTAATTACAATTATAATAAATCCAAATGCTTCCAAAATCCTAAAACCCTTCACTTCTGGGACAGCCATCACTCTTTTGCACACACTACACTCCATGAAGTCAGTACTATTAACAGAAATCCTTCAAGTTCGTGCTTAATTACTGTTTAAATAAGACCTTCACAATTCCACTCACTACTTCTTTCCATAAAAAAACGAAAATAAAGTCATGAATGATAAAAAAAAATGACATTACAACCAATGAAACTACCAGGGTTTCGCCCGTTAAATACCAATCAACGCATTTATGATGCCATTCCCAAAGCAAACAAGGAATTGCAAATACAAACAACAACCCATTTGAAATCAAATCATAGTAGTAGCATAATCATACCTGGGTTACAATACCGAAAAGCATTATCTGGAAGAGAATCAAACTCGTCGCCGAGAGCCGGTCCATCCTCCCTGAAAATTTTCTCGAGAATATATTCAGGACTGTATAAAACCTCCTGAAGCCTACGGCGGTAATCATCTTCATTCATGAACAGTTGTTGCTGCTTCTTCTGAGCTGTAATTTTACGCTTACTGTTTCTATCACTGGTTTTGACTCCATTTGCAACAACACCAGAATCCTCGGAGTTCTTGTGATGAACATTCTGTTTTTTCCTCTTAGTCGCCATGAAATTGGAGTAGTGATGATGATGACGCTTTCAATTCAATACTGTATCAAATTGGCATTTGGGTCGGGGGAATTAGAGATCGGAATGGTTGAATTTTAAGAGTTCAATGGGGGGTATTAGTGCGTGAATGTGTGAGAGAAGTGTTTAGCCATGGAGAAAGGATATGAAGAGGGGTTTTTGACAGTAGGGTTTTAGCCTCATTAATCAGGTTGGTTTGTGGCCGGATTTTCCATTTTCCTTTAAAAATGAAAATATAATACACGTAGTAATCTTCTTTTTCGTTCACTTTTTAAAATGCGGAAATAAATATCTTTACCCGAACCGGATCCGGCTCACTGCTGAGAGAATCGGAGTAGACCGCACGTTCACGGGGATGAGCCTCTAAAATATGAGCAACACAACTTTTTAGAGTTTTTTTTTTTCTGAAAATAAACTTTCTAGAGTAATACTCACCATTTGTCGTTGGTAATGCAGGAGGCACATTATTCTATATATATGTCTTAGAAAAAAAATTATATTGAATTTTTTAATTTATACTAAAAATAATATAAATCTCAAAACTCAATGTAAATTTTTTTTTTGTACAGAAATCGTAAATTATTCTATGAGTGAAACATCCCAACCATATTAAAAAAAATAAATAAAATTAGTCATTATTGTTATGTAAAGTGAACTACATTGTAATGAATTACAATTTTGTATTCACATGTGACTTGGAAATTGAGTGATAATCGGTGTAATTCTTAAATGGTTGAGGTGAGTTCTGATTAAAATTATCAATCATAATTGTATATATATTCTCTACTAGATACAAATCAACACTACTAATGTAATACATAAATAAATCAACACTACTAGATATATTCTCTACTAGATACAAATCAACACTACTAATGTAATACATAAATAAAGCAAAATATATTGCACTATTCATTCGTCGTGTTTCCTTTATTCAATTATTTTCGTAGTTATTGTATGTTTATTATAAAAATGCAAATCTTTTAGAGTTACACGAATTAGTATGGTTAATTTTGATTTAAGAGCTACAGAACACTTTTTTCTTTTCTTTTTTCCTTTTTTAAGTTAGAGGTGATAGTAAAAATAACTAAAATGAAATGTGAAAAATGCTGTAAAAGAAAATCATCACGTGGATGAGCGTAATATGTTAGATGTCTTTACTTGAAATATTTGACAAACGTATTAATCTAAAAAAATAATGAATTTTGGATATATGAGTGAAATGTACAATTGTTTTGGGTGGTTTTATTGAACCCAGGAAAAGTAAAGGGAGTAATCGGTAAAATTCAAATAAAACGTAGCCAAAATAAAGTTAGCGCCGGTTAATCTAGATACAGACATCTGTTAAGTCATATTTTCATGTGCCTGTGGGCCTTACCGCCAAATTAATGGAAAAAAAGCTCAAAAAAGATTATTAATAAAAAGAAGATGGATTAACGTGGAGGAGATGCTAGCACAGGGGAGATCTAACCACCGCAGCATTGATTTTGGCTGAACTCAGTAATGTGCATAAACGGACGGCGACCCAGTTGAGCAAAACAAATGGTAACCATATATACTACCCTTCATAATTTTATTCTCTCAAAGAATGGATTTTTTTGCAGATCTCTTGTTCGGTTGTTTTCGATTTCTTGAGGATCCCTTCTTCTTTGTTTCTTTGAATTCCTCCATCAGTTCTCGAATCACACTGAATTGTTTGAATGTTTCGTTAAAATGGAATGTCAATAATGTTGTGTAGGTAAGGTACGCAGTAGGCACCCTTTAGTGGCTTGGTTTTGTCTTACATTTGGGAATTGAATTCATGATAATGCTGTGTATATTGGAGCGTTGGACAAATTTTTATGGTAAATAGGACTCCGATTTCAGGAATTACCTAAGTTGGTGTGCTTGATGTTTGCTTGGGGAAACCATGGAACAGCATTTTTGGTGATGGTTTGAGGGTGTTTCTTTTCTTTTTGTTTTTGTGTGGAAGGGGGCAATCATCAAGTGTAGAAAAGAGGGATCTGAATGTATAATTTTTCAGGTGTGAAGCTAAAATGTTTCATAATTGAGTATTGAGAAGGTTGGCACAATTCCTTTATTGCCAAAATGCTAGTCGTGGTTAAGAGAGGATTCACGAGAAGGTTAAATTGGTTAAGGGAAAGATGCAAACTATGCACTGATTTTATTTGCAGAAAAATTGAAAGTGATAACTTCACCTCTTTTACTATAGGAGGATGAGCTACATGTATAATAGTCCTCTTATAGCCAAAATTATTAGTTACATGTCATCTATCGTCTGTGTATACATGTGCACTTAGGTTGATCAGGCTCTCCATGTTTAGGCATATGTTTTCGTTGGTTTCCACTTATGTAAAGTTTTGTGCTTTTGGTAGGAGAAGGAAGCAAAGAAAGAAGCTTTCCGGAAATACTTGGAATCTACTGGAGTTCTTGATGCTCTAACCAAAGGTTTTTTTGCACTGACTTTTTACCTTCTTGGTTTCCTTATACCTCGACTGTATTAACTGATCGAATTCATTTAAACCCGTGCGTTATCTTTTGGTTTGTTGTAGTTCTTGTGGCACTATACGAACAAAATGAGAAACCATCTTCAGCTCTTGAGTAAGTCTCAACTGTTTCAGCCTATAATGGTTCCAATATTGATCATTTCAATTTTCTTCAGAGAAAGTAGAAGGAGATAATTATTGACTTTGTTATCAGTAGTTTTAATTTTATGGCCACCTGGCTCACCTCATTCAATTGAAATACTGGAGAACAGAAGCTGCATTGCATGTATGGACTACTGAAATAGATGCTCTCAACAATTTTTACTGTAGACTATATGAGTTTCATGGTTGTATTCATAGTAGTGTTTTCTTCTTTTCTTTTTTTCATCCAGTTAGATTTTCTTGTAATGCAGGTTTATCCAGCAGAAATTAGGTGGTCCTACCATAGCTGAGCATGAAAAGCTACAAGCTGAGTTATCTGACCTGCAAATAAGATACAATGAGCTTCTTGCCGCACACCAAGAACAATGCCGGGAGGTATGCACTTGACTAGCAACTCCTCCTTATTGGTAGGGTGCCGTGCATTCTTGCTCTGGCACTACATTATTAATCTTGTTTGTTGGCATAAAGATTAACTTGTGTAATTTTCGTCCTTGGTTAACTAACATCGGGAATTTGGGACATGCAAATCTTAGGAGCAGTATCATCTTGTATTGCTGCATTGGTACATTTTAATCCGACATAACTTTCCTGTCTGTTGGAAAAGTTAGAGATGCAAATTGGTAGATTACTTGACATTTTGGCTTCAGCCATAAAATATCAAAAGGGTAGCTTTTTCTTGTATCCTTCCTATCAGCAGATTAAGATCAACTTTCATCTTGTGCCTTTTTTTTTTCTTTTTTCTTTTTCCAGCTGGAAGAACTGAAGAACTCTCATTCTGGGCAGTCCACTGTACAGAAGAAGAATGATGAGAATGATGAGGGGACTTCCAATGACACTCTTTGATGAACTACATTGGGGTGTCATGGATTTTATTGTCCACAACTTTGATTTAATGAATTCAGCTAAAAAATTGATGTGATTCGTAAATCATTGTAAATACAATGAATTAAAATTAACATCTAACCCTCTAAAAACTTAAGTTTTTTTTTTTTTTTTAAATTGAATTTTTCTTCCCATTTCTGATATGCTTCAATTTTACATTTGTAATAAGTCTTCCGAAATCCGATAAATTGTTTGAAAGCATTTACAGTGGTCAAGTCTCTCGAATAATTATTTGTTTGTATCAACTTTACTGAATTTTCTCATGAGGTTTTAATTGCTGGAAGATTTGTTTATTTTTTATAAAGCTGATATTAACTCTGTTAGACTGATTGATTCTGTTCTTAAGCACTTTGTTGATGTGTCTGACCTTATTTCGAATGTATCTCGAATGTATTCAGGAGTTGCTTGTATTTTCGGGGAATTGTACTAAACTTGAGTCAGGATATCATCAGCATTTTAGGGGTAGCAGAGGGTAAGCTCCCGGTGAAATATCTTGGCATCCCACTTAATTCTAAATCTCTTTTCATCACAAACTGTCAACCTGTCATTGAGAATATTACTCAGAGGATCAGAAGCTGGACCACACGATTTCTATCATATTTTGGATGACTCATATTGGATAAATCAGTCCTTCAGACTCTTCACAACTACTGGTACCGAATCTTCATTATTCCAAAAAAGGTGATAAAAACCATTGATGGTCTCTGCAAATCTCTTTTATGGTCAGGTAATTCGGATAGCAAAACAGCCTCTGTTGCTTGGGCAGATGTGTGTAAGCCCCTGAATACAAGAGGGTTGGGTATTAAGGATTCAAAAGTGATGAACGTTGCCTTGGTCTTAAAACTCATATGGGATATTCATCTTAATAAAGAGAGCTCATGGGTGAAGTGGATACATGAATACTATGTGAAAGATGTCTCCTTCTGGAATCTTGAAGTGAAACAATCTACCTCCTGCCCAATGAAAAAGCTTCTGAAAATGAAACAATTTGCTCTGCAATGTGTTAATGTGACAATAGATGGCATTGAATGGATTGGCGCCTGTGAACCTTTCTCAGTGAAGGGGGCTTATCGGACTCTAAGTATCCAGCACACTAGGAAGCCAAAGTACATCCTGTCTTGGGGTAAATTTATTGTCCCAAAACACGGCTTTATTGCTTGGTAGGCAGCCAAAGTACATCCTGTCTTGGGGTAAGTTTATTGTCCCAAAACACGGCTTTATTGCTTGGTTAGCAGCCAAAGTACATCCTGTCTTGGGGTAAGTTTATTGTCCCAAAACACGGCTTTATTGCTTGGTTGGCAGCCAAAGTACATCCTGTCTTGGGGTAAGTTTATTGTCCCAAAACACGGCTTTATTGCTTGGTTGGCTTGTCTCAACAAGTTGAAGACAAGGGCTAAAATTTATAAATATGATCCTACAATTAATAATACGTGTCCTTTGTGCATGATGGAGGAAGAAAGTGTCGATCATATGTTCTTTGAGTGCCTATTTTCCATACTGATCATCACTAAGGTCATGGTATTAGTGGGTGAAGAGTACCAGTCATTTCAATGGCTATCTTTTAAGGAAGAAATGTTGAGACAATATGGCTCAAGTTCTGTTAGAGATGGAATTACTGGATGAGTGATGACAGCTGCAATATATCACATTTGGGAGGTGAGAAATCATATTATTTTTCACCAAAGGAGGGTGTCAGAAGCTGAGGTAATTCAGAGTATTTCTTTCTCCTTGAAGATGAATCCTGCCAAAATTACCAAGATGAAAAATACACGTAAAAACAAGCGGTGATGCACATTGATGAAAATCTCCCCCCAATTTGATTGAATAACTTGACTTTGCTATCTTGTGTGGTGATTTTTTTGTATTGATATGTAGTTGCAGCTAGTAAATATTTTGTTGTATAGATCTCTTGAGAACTTTTAAGATTGTACTTGCCTTATAATTCAATGTTATGAAAATCAACTTTCATCCAAAAAAGTATCATTTTTGTTTCAAAATTTGAAGAGTTTATTAGCTTAAGATCCGCAAAGATAAAAAAAAATGTGGGAAATACTTTGTCCTAAAAAAGAACATATTTAATACAAACTTGATCGATTCAGACTTGAATCTTTCTAAATTACAAGAAGCTCCCATCTAAATAATATAGGTTTCCACAATTTCACAAATTAATATATATCCAGAATAAAAAGTTAGATTTGAAAATTAACTTAGATTTTAACTTAAAGTATTGTTTGATACTCGTAATTATCATTAATTTATTACATTAAAATTATTATAATAATGTAAATAGAGTTGCGATCAATTTTTCTTGATGTAAAAATAATAAATTTTTTATTAATAAGATCGAAACAAAAATTAAAATTAATTTATCGATAAATGGATAAATATATACTTGGGAAAGACGGTCCTTAATCGGAATCTTGAAATAATACAAAATTTATTTATTTTCAGAATGATTTTTATAAAGAAAAAAAGGAAAATTGGAGAAAGACGTTTATTCGTTTTCTTGTTCTTATGCCTATTAAATGGCAAAAGAGTCTTTCGATAAAACTGAATAAATAAAAGCCTAAAGTGACGCATGAATATCGCAAAAATGTCACGCTAATTCAACCATCTTTATCTTTTTAATTTTTCTTTTTCTAAAAAAAAACATGTTTTTATTGCCGATGTTTATCTCTGAAAGAACTCGACATCAATCCGGATCACGAGCAGAGAGGAACTTTATACCAAATCCAACGGCTGAGGAAAAAATATACAACCCCCAAAGCCCAAAGGCCAAAAACAGAAAAGCATAAAAAGAGAATTAGGGTAAAATAAATTGTTTTTGAAATTGCAGAGAAAAAATCTTTTTTAGTAAAAGAAAAGAAAAATAAAAAAATTCCCCAAATCCAAAAAATCACACACACTCACACACAGTCTTTCCCACCATGGAACCTAATGAAAGTGGTGGACTTGGCTCTTACTTCCACCCTCAACAGCCACCGCAACCACCGTCCCCTCTCAATCACGCGCCTCCCACTTCCTCCGTTAACGCCTCTCCCAACAATGGAATTCTGTCCAACGCCTCCAACCCCGCCTCCTCTGCCACCGCTCCTACTTCCTCTCCCATGGTGTACTCCTCCCACTCCGTCCCTGCCGCGGTGTCCTCCGGCGGGTTGGTGGAGGTGAAGCGGAAGCGAGGAAGGCCCAGAAAGTATAATACCCCTGGCGAGGCCGCTGCCGCCAAGCGGCAATCTTCTGCCGCCGCGATTTCTTCGCCAAAGAAAAAGGACTTGGCTTTTAGCGGCGGCACTGGCGGTGTCGCTCCCTCTTCCTCTAAGAAATTCCATCCGTCCGCTCTCGGTAAGCTTCCGTCATGTTTCCGGAGAAGTGTGCAAAACCCTTTGTGAATTCTTGTTTTTTTATTCGGAAGTTCGCCCCTTTGCTATGCTTATTTAAACTGAATTGAGATGGATCTTTTTTTTTTTTCCCTTCATAGCTTATTTAAACTGAAGTGTGATTTTGATGCTTTGTTGGGACTGACCCTTTTTCCCTTAGATTTGGGTACAGTATTTGTTTATGCGAAGGCTGCTCTTTTACTGCCTTTTTTAATTTTTATAAAGGCTATTTTGTTACAATAGGGAATATTCAATTACATATGTCAAGTTGCCCATAGTTTAAAGGAATGGGTTTACTGTACGGACTGTCTGCTTGCTCTTTAATGCTTCTGAGTCCATAAATAAGAGTGATTTATTTGAGCATTTTGAGGCATGATTGTCTTCTCCATGTAAATTGCTGATACCAACCATGCATGACTTCTGCAACTTTGTACTTCTCAAGGTCAATTTTGCTCGTCTAGAAGTTTTTCTGCGTTTAGATTGAGGGATTTGGGTCAGTCGTATCAATTTACCTTGTGCCTGGGAATTTGGCATTATCATATTTCTTCCAATCATCATTTGTCCTCTTTTATTAATATAAGCCAAACAGTGTAAAGCATCAACCCCTTTCACCCCTTTCAAAAGATGATTTTTTGCATGCATTTGGGTTTGTTAACAAGTAGTAGTCTATAGTCTATGGGTATATCTATGCTCCTTGGCCTAACTTGTGCTGGGCAATGCTAACCTCTGCTTCTTTTGTGTTTCTGGTGCAGGTGATTCTGGTCAATCTTTTACGCCTCATATCATAAATGTGGTTGCTGGAGAAGTATGTTTTTTCTTTCCTCTTACTTTTGAAACATGATTGTGTAATTTTGGCTAGTGGCTGCAGTTATTTTCTGGCTAAGATTGTATTTCTTGAAAATCATTCTATTTGGTGGCATTGGCTGAAACATTTTCCTGAGTCATTCTATTTCACTTTTGCTGCCCTCTTTACTTGGGCAAATATTCTCTTCCCTTCTAAGGTGAAAAAGCATATATGTTTTAATACTTTGATATTTGCCATTGTGGTTTTTACGTATTTGACCAAAATTAAAAAAAAAAAAGAAAGAAGAAAAGGTAAAGCTATTAGATTACTGAACAGATTGCATTTAGCACCAGCATTGATAGAACCAAAAATATCATCAATGCTGCCTCTAGAGCATTGCTCATTTTCGGCTTGCACTTGTTTACCTGCATCTATAATTGTGTCTGAACTTTTCCTTGGGGGAAACTGACACTTTTGGTCATTGGTTGACAACATGGGACACCTTTTGAATAAGTATTAAAGCATGCTGTATGTTGAGGGGTACACAAGTTTCTGTCTGTTGGATGATGAACCAATGCAACTCTTAGTTCATCAGTTTCTTTCTTAGTTTTCATCTCTGGATCTGAGTACAAGGAAGCTTGGTCCTTGATTATTATCACAGAAAGCTTTTGTATTTGGAAAACAGGCAGTAAAGAAGACATTTAGGCTTGAAGGAATGTTTTAAGTTTTTAAGTCCTTCCTTGGACTCCGTCCATGAGTACACAAGTTTCATGTTTCTTAAGTGATGTTTTGAATCATGTGGAATGATACATGGACATAAAGCATTGTCATGTTAAAAGTTCCTCTCTTGTTGTTTGCGCGCCTTTGCATTTTGATGATTATCTAGTTTTGTCAGCCTTACATTTTGGATGCTTTGTATGGTATTGTCATTACTTATTTGTTGATTCTTGATACCGTTTATATTTGTCACATTTGATAGGACGTGAGGCAGAAAATTAGGATGTTCATGCAACAAAGCAAACGTGAGATTTGTATTATCTCGGCTTCAGGTTATGTATCTAATGTAACTTTGCGCCAGCCATCTGCCTCTGGAGGCAATGTTTCGTATGAGGTAAAGACTGTGTATGCCTATTAAAAAGTAATGTTTTTAGTAGCCATCATCTTTTATAAGGAAAACATGATTATCTCTAGATTTCCTGCGGGGTATTTCTGAGAGAAGATCATTAATGTGTAGAGATAGTTGTAGAGACTGGCTTTTCCTTATTACTTTTTTTAGATGTGACACAAATATTATTTGTTTATGTAGGGGCAGTTTCACATCAATACTCTGAGTGGATCCTATGTGCGCACTGAGCACGGAGAACGGACTGGAGGGTTAAGTATTTGTGTGTCTACTAGTGATGGGCAAATCCTTGGAGGTGGAGTTGATGGACCTCTTATGGCTGCAGGTCCGATCCAGGTACCATGCTCATATACAGGCTCTATTACGACTAATGTTCTGTTTTAGTTTCTTTTTCTCCCGAAATGAAAGGAGCCTGATGCATTAAAGTACGGAATTTGATTTTTAATGTATGTGTATATACACACTTTTCTTTCTTTTCTTTTTTTAAAAAGAAAAAACTGTGCTGCCCTTTTCAGAGTTTTGCTACCTTGGAATTTGCTTGAAAATCCTGGATTTTTCCAATGTTTGCAGAAAATTAGGTTTCCAATGTTTTTTTTTCCCCTGTCATTCCTGTGTATCAGAATAATCTTGCTAATCAAGCATAAGTCTGCAATGGTGTCCATGTCCCAGGAATTCCTTCTTTTGTAGCTCCAATGGAATGTAGAATTTTAGAGCGATTTTCTTGCCTGCCTCTCTCTTGTGCCTGCTATGTATCTTTATCTTTAATTCTATACTTTAATTGGCTAGTTGAACTTGGTGCCAGCCTCTCTCTCAATGTCATGCCTTACTTTCTTAAGTATTGTCCATAACGGCCATTTGGCCTGAGATTCTGCATAGAATGGACAAATAATATATTTTGTGGTTAATGTCATGTAACATACGACAATCTGAATTGGACCTATATGGTCATAGGCTATTTATCTGATTCTGTAATTGATTGCATCAATTGAAGATTCATAATTTATCAGGATGATGGTAACCAAGAGAATTAAATGCAAAACCAAACAATTTGCCTTTGAGGGAGTGTTTATTCCCTGCTTCATTATGAAAAGTAGTCCTTAAATCGATTCGGGATATTTTACTGTCCCTTTCTGATCTGATTTGCAAGTCATCAATAAAAAATCATTGTCTGATTGCAGCTTGACTTGTTCCTCGTTCTATGTGACCTTTCTAGGTTCTTGTGTCCGTAGATGCTCTTAGGATTATTGTATCACCCATCTTATTGTTATCATTGCGAGTTTCTGCTTTATCTGGCTTATGAATTCGTACCTTTGGTAGGTCGTGGTTGCAACATTTGTTATGGAAGTGAAAAAGGAGGTGGTAAGTGGTGCAAGAGGAGGTGAAGCCTCAGGGGGTAAGTCCCCGTCACCAATCGGCGGGGCATCAAATTCAGGTGTAAGCATGTGGCACATTGATTCTTCTTACCCGAGTATTGGTGGCAGTCAGTTTATGATTCAGAGTCAGCCTCAGTCTCAGTCGGAGCTTGCAAGCACCTTCACCGTTGACGGATTGGAAGGAGCATCCCAGTCAGACTTTGCAGCAATCTTTCCAAAATGGCAACATCCACGATCACAATCCAAATTAGATAATGACACCTGAGGCACTGCTGTCTTTGCATATATGTTTAGGATGTAGAGAGAGTGTCGGAGACCCCCTTAAATTTGTGCCCAGCAGTAGTAGTTAGTTAAATTTTATGATATTTGTACAGGTTATATGGAGCATCTTGTCAAATCTGATTGGCTATTGTTTTTATTTGGGCTTTTTTTTTGTTTTTTCAGGCTTATGAACCCTCACATTTGTGAACTCATTTTAACCCTTCTTCTTTGACTTTAATTACCCAACCTTCAGGAAGGTTTTGTCTATATAGTTCATCTACCAATCTGCTTTGTGGAGTATGTTTAGCTTTCTGTAAGACTGTAAGATCTGCTGCATTAGTGCTGAACAGTGAACACAGATCAGTTTGGTAGTATTATTTTAACAGGAAGAAAAGAAAAATTGGTAGCACTAAAATAAGCTGTCTGTCTGTGCTGGGAAGATGGTCATTGTTCATGTTATTTCCTGTCATTGGTCATGAATTGACATCATGTGTCCTTTGGAGAATCTATTTTTGAGAGGTCCACATACCCCCCATGTGATCCCGGTATTCAGATTATTCTGTGGCAGATTCCTCCTGTTTCACTGACTTCTGTAGTTTCCCCCAGCAACCATATCACCTCATTCGAACCCAAAATAGAAATCCACGAATCTAAACTGAACAATAAATTTAGTTGACGGAAAGAGTACTATCTTTCTGGAACGGAGTACTGTTTTGTGCTAAATAGAATTCAATTCATAAGGACTGAGGAGGCACATTAAGCGATAGGCCAGTTTGAGATGCATTTTTTTGAGACTTTACTTTTCTACTGGTAAAGGATCAACGAGGTATAATTGGACATATACTACTTTCTGCTCGAGATAGTATTAAATTATCAATTATACATAAAAAAAAAACTTCTATATCATCGAGTCCAATCTAAAAAGTTCAATTAGGATTAAGTGGACAACCAATCTGAATATAGCACTGAGTCCAATTAGAATTGGGCTCAAGGCTCTTAATGGGATTTTAAACCATGTTTAATTTCATAATATTAAGAGTTATTGGGAGGCAAAAGTTCTCTTAACAAATATTTTAATCATGGTTCGAATCCGGATTAGTCAGCGCAATGACTTGAATACCAGGTGCATAATATACCATAGTAATAAGAGTTTTCACTTTTATCATATTTACTCAATTTTTTCTATCTTAAACGACGGATCATTTCTTCTTACAGTAGCAGAAGTAGCTAAAAAATAATAGTGACAATGATAATATTGTTTGGTCGAGACTACTAGACACATTTTAACAATCTTTACTTACCATTAGCAAATGACTGGGGTGACATTGTTTATTACTAATTACAATTTACAAGTGTTAAACCCGGAGTGGAATGAACGTGGTTATGTAAATAGCATGAAAAAAATAAACTAGTAACGCCGTGATGGGCTGAAAAAAGAATTGAAAATGCAGACTCACACCCTCCCAAACGGATTACGACCGACTTTGGGACTTTTTTGGACTGTGCTGCGATCAGTTCTGGCATCTAGCAAATTTCGTCGGCCGGCACAACCTCCCAGTTGGATTCACTGAACACGGAGACAAAGAGATAAAAGTGATCTCCGCATTTCCCAAAAGTCACACAAAAATACGTAATACTAATATGTACGTTTTACATGATCTTCACACTTCAGTTTTCTAAAAATACGTAATACTATTATGTACCACTTATTTATATGAACTCTAGACTCCGTCGGTTCCTTATGTCTAAGGGGAAAAAAAAAAGAAAGATCTTTATGTTAAGCTAATTCAACTCCACGGTAGATATTTTGCAACGGACGAAATACTATTACAAATATCTTTTACTACTATTCTTAGAGAAAAAAAAGAAAAAACAAGAGAGAAAGATCGTAAAGACTGGTATGAGAATTTCAAATGAAATTTGGAGATTGAAAACATATGTTCTCATATATCATTACCTTCTGTCAAATCAGAATTGGCCCTGTTTGCTTGAAAACAAAGGTTAAGTAATCCAATTTCTTATCTACATCACTTCTACATCACACATTTGTTACAAACATAGTACACTTTCTATTATTTTCTTTTAACTAAATCACGATTCACGAGGCTCACATTTTTTCAATTATATAAATCGATGATCACGTAAAAGATTGTACAAATGTAAAGAAACCATTTATCCCGTATAAAAAACTAAGAAATCTATCGCAAAATTTATTATTGTTCTGTTCCAACGTTACTTCAAAAAGAAGAAAATAAAAACAAAATATATAAATTAAGCATAATGTATTAGGAATAAATTAGACGTCACAGTTAATGTGACAAAGAAAAAGAATTGGAAGCATCAAAAGCAAATGACGTGACCGGACTCCGGAGGACGAGGATCCCAATATACATACATTTTGATGTCTAGATTCTCTTCACCGAGTGACAGGAGGGGTTTTGAGTTTGACAGTGATGATTAACAGCCCCTCTTAATTCCAGTTAAACAGTTTTTGTCCGTTACTTAAAATTTGTGATTTTTTGATATCAACGTTTCACCAAATCACGTTACCATCCCATTTTTCAAAGATTTTGAACTCCTTTTATTTTTCAGGTTTTCATGCATAATACTCGTGGGTAGGGTACCTTTCAATATCGTCGTCGTGTTTCCAAAGTTTGCTTTGTCGAATCAACCATTCATCAAAGACCTTTTCTTGTATAGGGGAGCGCAATTTAATCGGGTGGTTAACATGATTTGGTTTCTTCGATGTTGCATTTGTACCGATAACGTGTCAACAGTGAAATGGAGTACTACTCCGATAACGTCATATTGTAATTACAACTTTAAACTTTTTTTTTTACGATTTAAAACATCTATTATTTTATTATTATAAGCTCGTGAAATAATCGGTTACAAAGTCTGTTTATCTATGAACACTATACACTTTTTGAACTTGAGTTTATTTGTTATTTTTTATAATCCTCTCAGTCTCATGTTTCATGGTTCCAAACGAAAGCAAATTAAGGACAGAACGACCCGTATAGATATTTCTCCATTGTAATAACTTATCCCCTCTTCTTTCATAAATAAATAATTATATCTTTCAAGAACTTGGATGTCTATTATGGAATGAAACCTCATAAATTAATCTACAAAACCAGTAGTATAATGCAAAATTGGAAACTCAGTATAAGAATCTGCGCACGTAACATCTAAAAGGGGTAAAGGAATAAACACGTACACAACTAATTTAATTAATCCTAGCAAACTAAATAAATAAAAAAAATAATCTCCAAATGGTATATTTTGGGTGGGTTGCACTTAGAGCACGTATGATCATGATGAAATACTAGCCAGTACCCATCACTGACTTAACCCATCCTAAATAGACAATTTTTGTTACCTTACGAACTTTTTGGTGGAATGTTTGTTATTAAATACAGGTAGTAAATATTAAAAGTACGTTTTTATCGAAAAAATTCATTATCTTTATTGAAATAATTAAACAGTACTGGACCTGAAACAAAAGTTTGTAAAGGGGTGCTTATAAATTTTAAAAAGTTTAAGGGGGTTGATAATAAACCATGGGAAAATGTATGCGTTTTCTAACATCTCCGTCTTATTTTTTTGCTTATTTATTTATTTATTTTTAATAAATAATTCATTTCATCTCCGTCTTCTTCTTCTTTAATCTACACGAGATGTATGTATACAGTAAATTGAGGTCAAATCAACTACGCTACATTTTAGTCATCAATGTCTTAATTCGCACTCCCATTTTCGGATTTGGAGAATCTCTGAATTATTTTATACCCAAGTGTGCGTAGAAATAATAATCTCACTGGGTTAGGATATTTGTTACAAACAATATCAACGTGAGAAAAAAAGTATATCTATACAAGGCAAGTTTCAGTTCTCTTTTTGGACTCTGGACAGCCCAAGGAGCTAAATATCTGCAGAATTTATACCTGAGATTCCATTTCTGATGCAGATTTTAGCGATTGGTCTGATGGGTTTTTGCTGTTGAGCCTCTTCCCCTGTTAGGGGTTCTGGGATTCTTTGAACTCTGCTGGAGGGCGAGTTACCGAGATGTGATCTTTTGTTGCCAGCAATAAAGGGTTTCCATTTCCACAGGTGGGAGTTTTCAAGTGCGTTCTTCCCGTTTCTTTCTCCCATTTTTCCAATTTTTTTTTTTCTTGAATAAAGTTGCTTGCTGTCAAACATTTGGAGCTTGGTTTGTTTGAGGAAGGTTGGATTCAAGCTGGTTCCCGCAAGGAAAACGTGTTGTTTTTCTACCTCTCTCTGATCTTTTGACTTCATCCATTTTTTGGGAGCTTTGCCAAAGGTCAAATTTATTTGACTAATTGGAGCCCTTGTCGGTTGCATCTTTGATTCTGTAAGCGTACAGCACCTCTCTGTCAATAGCATTTCATTTATCCTAGTATAACATACTTCGAAGGAAATAACAGATTGTTTGTGAATACCTGATCTTCGTTCATTCACACTGAAACATTGAGAAAGTGGGTAGTATAGTAGAAAAGGATTATCTGAGCAGAGCACTACAGTTTAAAAGATTGATTATTTACTGGCCAAGTGGATATTTATTTAGTGTGGATCTCGAAGCATAGTGTTGTGTTAGATCTGGAATTATTGAAGATTCAATTTATAGTAGACGTTGGCTCTCTTAGTGAGATAAGGGACAGCACATGTTAATTTGGTGACTGAGGTTTTGGGTATAAATTTGGGGCATGTCTCGTGTGATCATCCATTGATTAAAAGGTTTTCAAGCATCCAAACTTGGTGATAAGATGGATTGATAGGGTGCTGCCATGGATACAAGAGTAACATTTTCGCTTCGCGGGCTTCTAGTTCTTCTCATGATCTTATCAGTGTCAGCCACTGATGGAGAATTTCATTGTCCATGCGATGATGATGGAGGTTGGAGCATTGCTACCATTCTAGATTGCCAGAGAGTCAGTGATTTCTTGATTGCTATTGCTTACTTTTCAATTCCATTAGAGTTGGTTTACTTTATTAGTTGCTCAAATGTGCCATTCAAGTGGGTTTTAGTTCAATTCATAGCGTTCATTGTCCTCTGTGGAATTACTCATTTACTCACTGCATATACCTACTATGGTCGTCAATCCTTTCAAGTGATGATGTCGCTTACAATTGCTAAAATCCTTACTGCTCTCGTCTCTTGTGCTACTGCAATAACTCTTGTCAGCTTGATCCCTATTGTCCTCAAATTTAAAGTTAGAGAACTTTTCTTGAAACAAAATGTTATGGAGCTCGGCCAAGAGGTTGGGTTAATGAAAAGACAGAAAGAAGCTGGTTGGCATGTCAGAATGCTTACCCAAGAAATTAGGAAATCAATCGATAAACACACAATTTTATACACTACCCTGGTTGAGCTCTCAAAAACTTTGGATCTTCAGAATTGTGCAGTTTGGATGCCTAATGAAAATAAAACAGAGATGAATTTGACCCATCAGCTAAGTCCTGGTCCTTCACAGGAGTACAGTCGTGCACTCCCAATGAATGACCCAGATATATTAGTCATAACAGAAAACAAGGGTGTGAGGTTTTTGAAGCAAGATTCAGTTCTTGGAGCTGCAAGCTGTGGTGGGTCTGGGGAGCCAGGTGCTGTTGCAGCTATTCGAATGCCGATGCTTCTTGGGTCAAATTTCAAAGGTGGGACACCACAGAATGTTGACACTGGGTTTGCCATATTAGTTTTGGTTCTCCGAAGTGCACACGAAAAAGTTTGGAGCTACAGTGAGATGGAGATAGTTGAAGTGGTTGCTGACCAGGTCGCTGTGGCACTGTCCCATGCTTCAGTTCTGGAGGAGTCCCAATGGATGAGAGAGAAACTGGAAGACCGAAATCGTGTACTCCAGAGAGCCAAGGAGAATGCAATGATGGCTAGTCAGGCCAGGAACTCATTTCAGAAAGTGATGAGCAATGGCATGAGGCGGCCTATGCATTCTATTTTGGGCTTGTTATCTGTTTGTCAAGATGGAAATTTGAGCTCTGAACAGAGGATTGTCATCGACACCATAGTGAAGACCAGTAATGTTCTTTCAACTCTTATAAATGATGCAATGGAGATATCTGATAAGGACGAAGGCAGATTCCCATTAGAGGTGGTTCCCTTTAAGCTACATTCAATGGTCCGAGAAGCGTCTTGTTTAATCAAATGCTTGTGCATGCAAAAGGACTTTGGTTTCTTTGCAGATATATCCCCTATTTTGCCTAATCCGGTGATGGGGGACGAGAAGAGGACTTTTCAGGTTTTACTTCACATGATTGGACACCTGTTGAATGTTAATGATGGAAAAGCTTCTGTGACATTCAGGGTGGTTTCAGAGAGTGGAATTCCGGAAAGGACTGATAGATCTTGGGACACAAGGCGACCAAGCTCGAATGATGAGTATGTGAGTGTAAAATTTGAAATTGAAGTTAATGCTGAAGGTTCTCAGTTAGATAATTCAATAGCTACAACACATTTTGGAGGTACAAGGCACAATAACAAAGAAGTAAAAGAGGGATTGAGCTTCAGCATGTGTAAGAAGCTAGTACAGGTTAGAACTTCTTAACATCCTTTCATTGATATCTTCTGTTACCCATCCAAATAGTAATATTTTAGATTACTACCATCTTAATAGTCATGCACAGATGCACATAACATCGGATTATTGATTATTTTCCCCCTAGTATTTATAACAGAAATGTATAAACTTCTGGCACCATTCCGGTAATCTATGACTGCAGTATGTTTTTGGTTCTGAACCTTGTCATTTCTCAAACAGTTTCAAATAATTGGGTTTTAGTTTGATGGACTATGTGGATAGAGGATATGGTGCTCGGTTGTCTATGTGGATCAGAAAATGAAGAATTTCATTATGCAGTCTGTGATTCTTCTTAACATCCCTTTTAGATTGCTGAAAACTCGAGTTTCCTTTTAAATTACATTCGTCTTACTCATATCTGCCGATAACTAATTGAGCATTCTTGATCTCCACGGTCTAGGCCCTAGGGTCCAGCCTTTTAGTAGTGCTTAACAACTGGAAGTTACAAAGGTCTAAATTGTTATCATTCTCTTTAAAAAATTGGGATGCCCCCAAATAGAAGTTTCTTAAATAACTCTACACGTTCTCCTGCCGATTTGAAATATTGAATGTGAAATGTATAGTGGTTATCTTTTTACGTTTTTGTACACCCTTGGATTATAGTTTAACTGCTAAACTATAAAACGAATAGGTAAGTGGCTGTTTGAAATGTCTGCGCATTTCAGGGATATGCTCTGGTAGTTAATTGGTGTTCATTGGTCATTAGACAACCATATTCTCAATCAGTTCTGCAAAATTGCAATTGTTCTTTTAAGTGAGACTTGTAATGTTCTCTTTCTTCAAACATCATAATTAGTGTTCTAACTTCTGTAACTTGAACACATCAGTTTTGTTGTATTAGTAACTTATAGTGTTAGATGCTCAAACTTCTGTACCTTCGTATCTGATTCTAGAATTCCAGAATGAATTTTTACCCTTTACCCACTCATATTATATTCAAGTTCAGTGATCAATTGCCTGATGGCTGATAAGTCATGTTTCATGTTTATACATAGCTTTTCTACTGAAAATTCCTTACAGCCAGTGTGTTTGGAAGTTACTTATAGAGAACTTCTTTAATGGATTTGTTTGATGGCACTGCTTGAGGAGTTATTTTTATTAGTCTGAGAGCCCTGTCACTTTGTTTAAAAAATGTGTAGAACTTATATATGTTGCAAATTTTTTGCGTCACGAGTTCTTAGTTCTAGGTAACAACCCTAACATATACTGCAGCATTATCAACACGGTTTGTTCTCTGATAATTCTCCGGATTTTGTGGTCTGTTAAAAAAACAAAGGATTTATTAAAGGATTCGAGAAGATTGTTCCCCTATTGTTGTTTGACTTGTCGTTGTTTCCTGATGCAGATGATGCAAGGAAATATCTGGATGTCCTCGGATTCCCACGGGCATGCACGGAGTATGACCCTTATCCTTAGATTTCAGAAACAGTCATCATTTAGAAGGCATATATACGAGCTTGGGAATTGCCAAGTGGACCAAACTATTACCAGCAGCATGTTCAAAGGATTCGATGTACTTTTAGCCGATGATGATGGCACAAATAGAATGGTGACAAAGAAGCTGCTCGAGAAACTGGGTTGTAAGGTGACGGCTGTATCATCTGGTTTCCAATGCCTGAGTATCCTGGGACCTTCAGCTGGTTCATTCCAAGTGGTCTTCTTGGATCTTCACATGCCAGAGATAGATGGCTTCGAGGTGGCCATGAGAATCCGGAAATTCAGGAGTCGTAATTGGCCTTTGATCATAGCATTGACAGCGAGTGCGGATGAAAACGTGCTGGAAAGATGTCTGCAGGTGGGGATGAATGGTCTCATAAGGAAACCTGTTCTGCTACAAGGCATGGCTGATGAACTACGGAGGGTACTGCAGCGAGCAAGTGATGGAGTGAACAACTACTTTTGAGTTTTTACAGTCAGTATTCAAGCAGGCACCCATTTAGTGACTTTTAGGAAGTTTTCTTTTTCTTTCTTCTTCTATACATACAGAATTGGTGGAAAAAAAGAACTCATCAATTATGCTAACAATGTAGTTATGGATGATTATTTCAGAACCTATATTGGCCGGAGAACAGACCAGTATATTTATATATGTAGATTGTAAACGGCATCAAAGCCATTTTTTTCCCCCCAAAGTCTGTTTGTTCACTTGAGCACCAGTTGGTCAAAAAGGCTATAATTGTTAGTTGATTTGCTTCTATAATAAGATTACCAATGAGTTAATCGCTGTTACAATGTTTTCGTATACATTTTGTTATAATCGTAAGCTGCCTAACTTTAAGATTTAATTCCAACGTTTGCACCTCTTGCTTCCTAATTAAATCAACGCATTTCTTTTCAAAAAAAAATAAAAAATCAACGCATTTATTTTTCCATAAAACAAATAAAAAGGATGTGAAATATGTGTGGTTGATCAAACTAGTCTCATTAGCAAATTGAACGATTATAGGTTAAATTAATTTTGCCTAAAAATGGCAAAAGGGAAGTAGTTTTGTCACAGGAAGGGTTTTTTTTTTTTTTTTTGTCAAAACGGACTTTTGGTCCCTAAATTATAATGGGTCACAATTTTTGGCTACCATTAATTTTTTACTGACAAAATTAGTTACCATCTTTTCGTTTATTTTTTATTAATTTTTTACTGAACTGGGACAAGTAATGTATTTTCAAATAACAAAATCAGTCCCCAAATATTTTTTTCCAAAAATTTTAGCCGCTTCAACAGAATTTTCAAAAATTTAATTGCCCAATTCAATTTTCCTTTAAGTCTTTATATTTTATTGATTACTTAATGAATTCTAGATCCAATAAGTCTTGGATTAGATTTTTTTTTAAAACAAAATAAAAATATAATGAAAGTATTTCCGATCAACTTCCTAAACCCCAATAGAGTGCTTCCGAATGTCTCACCATCACCTCCCCACCGGCAAAGTAACACAGAAAAAAAGCCTCATTATTGATTGTTTTCATTGTTGTTTTTTTTTTTTGAAATTTATTTCTCGGGGAGCAGAATATTTGGGATTTAGAAAGTTAGTCGGAAATATTTTCATTATTTATTTAATTTATTTATTTTTGAAAAAATTCTGATCAAGGACTTGTGGGACCCACAATCTATTAAGTAATCATTAAAAAAGACTTAAAAGAAAATTAAATTGGATCATTAAATTTTTGAAATTTTTATTAAAGTGCCTAAAATTGTTGAAAAAAGAAATATTTGGGGACTGATTTTGTTGTTTGAAAATAAATTGCGGGTTCCAGTTCAGTAAAAATTTAATCAACTCATATTGCAATTGTTTAATGTAAATTTGAGTTTGGTAATCCTTTTTAATTATTAATAACTAGGACTTTTTTCACTTTTTTTTAATTAAGAAAATGAAAAGATTGTATGTGTTGCATTTGGTATTCCTTTAATGTTGCGACTTTTTATCTTCTTCCATTGATTTTTTCTTTTATTTTTATTTTAAAGACTAAATATGAATAAATTAGTTCATTAGTAGTCTTTTTTAATTATTAATTAAGAGTTTTTTTTCCGCCTCTTTTTTAAACAAGAAAATAAAGAAACTTTATGTGTTACATTTGGTCATTTAATGTTATGACCTTTTATCTCTTTCTATTAATTTATTATTTTATTTTGATTTTAAATATTATGAACAAATTTGATTTTGGTAGTTCTTTTTAAGTATTAATAACTAGGACTTTTTCACTTTATTAAACCAAGAAAATGAAAAGATTGTATGTGTTACATTTGATATTCCTTTAATGTTATGACCTTTGATATCCTTCCATTGATTTTTCCTTTTATTTTATTTTAAAGACTATTTATGAACAAATTAATTCATTAGTAGTCTTTTTTCACTATTGATTAGGATTTTTCTTTGCCCTCTCTTTATAACCAAGAAAATGAAGAGACTTTATATGTTACATTTTGCCCTTTCATGTTTTGACCTTTTATCTCCTTCCATTAATTTATTCTTTTATTTTTATTTTAAAGATTTTGAACAAATTAACGTTCTTTATTAGTTAGGAGTTTTTTTTCCTTCTTTTTAACCAAAGAAAATGAAAAGATTTTGTATGTTACGTTTTCTTTTCTTTTAATGTTTTGATCTTTGATTTTATTCCATTAATTTCTCTTTTATTTATATTTTAGAAAATTTAGAATAAATTATTGTGCCATGATTTCAATCAGAGCATTTTTCTAGCTTTAAATTTTTCATATGTCTTTTATTCTTCTTTTCTTTGAATTTTAAGATTTCATTAGTGAGAATTTAAATAAATTATACCATAATTCAAATAGAATACTACGAGTTTCGTATCCTTTTAAATTTGTCGATGTATATAGTTCTCAAAAATAAGAGTTTTGACACATTTATCTTTTTCTTTCTTACAAGTGTTCACTCTATGCTCTCGATTGCCTTTACATCCCAAATTCATTGAAGGTAATCACCATTATTTTTACTCTTTTCTTATATAAAACTTTAAGTTTAGATTTTTTCTTTCTTCTATTCTTTTTTCTTTATTGGGGGATAGGTTGTTATTAAAAATTTGATTGTATTCTATTGTTCATTTTGTATATATGTGTTATTTTTTTTTTCCTAGAGTTAGAATATTATTATGTAGTTACACTAAATTTTGAAAAATATTCACTTACGCGCGAAACGCGTTTATTCCATCTAGTAAATAATAAAAAATTTAACGGAGAAAAGAATTGACCTTTAGTTGACCGTTAAATTAACTAACACTGTTGAATAAACGAAAAGATGGTGACCAATTTTGTCAGTAAAAAATTATGGTAACCAAAAAGTTGTGACCCCATAATTTAGGGACAAAAGTGTCTTTTTATTTCCTTTTTTTTTTTCCTTCTTTTGAAAAGAAGGCAAATAAATTTCGGCTGAAACGATATGGGCTTCATCTTTCTCGTTTAAAAACCCAATATCAGCCAAAGCCCAAAGTCGTCGACCTCTGGCATCGTCGGCGCCACCTTTCTCCTCCGTTCTCCGCCGTCCCTTCAAAGTAAAGCGTCAATTATTTATACTTCTAATTGCGGAAGGAAGAAGAATATTCGGAATGAGCGGAGACATAACAGAAGCAGAAAATTACTACTCCAAAGATTTCGAGTGGGAACAGCTCAGGCTTGAGGTCGAGACCGACCCCACTTTCCTCTACCATTTACTGCCTTTCAACAGTGATGGCGTATCCAACTCCACCACGGATTCCTCCAATTCATCGCCACTTGAAGATTCTGACGCATGGAATAAGTTTCACTCTCGCCATTCCACTGGGAAGTTCTTCAAGGTACATTCAATCAAATGCTTCCCGTTTCTTTTCTTTTTTTAGCTAAGTCAAACGCCGGGTTTTTAATCATTGTATGTGCGTATAAGATTGTAATATTATCAATTTCTGCGAGTTATATAAACTTTCCGAGTGGAGTGGTTATCTGGACTTTTACTTGCTGGAATTTATTCCCTGTTTGATTATGTTAAAACTGATATTTTAGGCAAACACCAAATTTTATTACGGAGTATGTGATATCAACAGTATGCTGCCTGTTTATGTTTTATGCTACCTTATTGAGGTCTAAGATAAAGCTGGTTAACAAGTCTAATATGTACTAGGTAAGATCCTGTAATCAAGTATTGGCTGGCTAATTGATCAATGGCTTCAGAAGAAAGTGTCAGTTACTTCCCCTAGTTTCTTGTCTTACCCTTTAGATATTTTGTTTCCCCTGAAATATAGGAGAGGAGGTATTTACTGAAAGAGTTTCCCGAACTAGCTTGTAGGGGCCATTCTAAAGTTTTGGAAGTTGGATGTGGTAACGGCAGCACTGCTTTGCCAATTTTGAGGTAAAATCCATAACTTTGCTTATATCTGGATTTGATTTCAAGTCAAGTACAGCAAATGACAATTTCAGACTTGTCACAATCTGAATGTTTTAGTCCGCGGTCTAGTCCTTTTATTCGGATATTAAGTTACCAATGTCCCATTCTTTGTGTCCAAAATACTTGACAGGGCAACAGAGAACAGTGTAATTTATGCATGTGATTGCAGCAATGAGGCTCTTGATAGAGCTAAAGAGAATATTTCTGCTGCAAACTTGACCACTGCCCAAGATCGATTCCATCCTTTCTTATGTGATGTTTCTACATTTGAGTTTCCCAAGTGGCTGGCCTGCATCTCTTGTCAAGAAAGATTTATGACAGCAGTATGTTACTTCCTCAGCTCGATTTTATGTATTTGCTCGCAAATATGAACAGTTGCTCTTTTAATTAGTAGAACAGTGAATTTCATAGGCTTATTCTGATATCCTGTTTACAATCAGGGAGAAACACAATACTCATTGTGCTCAGAGGAGAGGACTTGCTGCATTGGTGGGGTTGATCTTGTTACCTTAGTATGTAGTCTTTGTGCTTATTTTTACTTGGAGCCGTTATGCTTTTACTTGAAATTCTGTTGGCAGACAAGAAGCCTATATATCAATTATTTACTTCTCTTTTATTTAACCTACCAGATATTCACTTTATCAGCATTACCACTCCACAGGATGACAATGGCCATCAAACAATGCTTCTCTGTCTTGAAGCCGGGTGGCATACTCTTGTTTCGGGATTATGGTAATATGGTGACCAAACTAGAGTTCAACAGCTGATATGAGTGTGTTGTTCTTTCCGTCTTCAACAGTGTTGGCGTTGGTGTTGGTTTCCCTGATGTCTTTCCTGGTTTATGTGTTACCCAGGTCTGTATGATATGACTATGCTTCGGTTTTATCCTGAGCAGAGAGTGGGATATAGGGAGTACATGCGATCTGATGGGACCCGCTCCTATTTTTTCTCCTTAGAATTCACTAGAGATCTCTTTTCCAGTGCGGGGTTCACAGAGGTTTGCATCTAAACATAGCTTTTCATGGATAAACTTATGTCTAGATACTTATCTTTCAGGAAATTCTTTCAGCTTTGCCATGAGTTTGGTAATATTTTAGGTGGGGGGAATTCTTTTTAATACTGGAAAATTGTAATTTATGTTCCGCTGCTTACTTCCTCGGCTTGCCTGTTCGTTGGGAGGGATTGAGGGGTTCTCAATATTAGTTCACTTGGACAAAAATGTAAAAGAGCATGGGGGAAACATATATCAGCAAATGTCTCCTCGTGTTCAATTTGCTAGAAATTTGATGTTGTCCACTTTGTTCTTGTGTTACCTTCAATATCAAGATAATGACCAGTATTAGCAAAATCTTGCAGCTTGAGCTGGAATATTGTTGTGTTAGATCCACAAATCGGCGTAATGGGAAGATTATGCGAAGGGTGTGGGTTCATGGCAAGTTTCAGAAAGGGAAATGAAGGTAAAGCTGCTATCAGCGTAAGTAAGTTGCAGACTTGTGTCCAATTGGAAACTGACGCACTGATGAACGAAGGTCTACTCCACTAAATAGAAATAGTAAACTAAATGCATGCTTATCAATGGCATATAGGAACGCTTACTTTGCAATCTGAAGAACTGAAGTATACAATGGATAGAGACAGCGTACTTCACATTAATTCATTTGTTCCCCATTTTAGTTCGTCCTGGTTGGTTTGTGTTTTACCTTTTACTTTTTCTCTTTTTTTTTTCTTTTTCTTTTTTTTTTTCCTACCGGTCTTTTTCGGCTACAAAGTAGAGATGTACTAGTATCTTTTTAGGTCAACATTCTATCAGAGCTCGAAGTTACGGACTTACGGTGTCAGTGTCCCACTACGCAGTGAGATTTATTAGCAATTGGGGTCCTGTTTTCTTACGCCGATGAGTGCATAATAAAACGACCAAGCATACTTTCTGATTCATATAGTAATTATATGAAGAAATAAAATGGACTATATTGGTATTTACAAATTCGATATTTGAAATCACTATCCTAATAATTATATAAATCTTAACAAATATTTTTTCTGTTCCGAAATAAATGTATAGCTTAGGTTTTTATGTTTAGTTTAAATTATACTCAAGTGAAAATTTAGAATGAATAATCGTTTTTATGACTGATTGAGTATTTTAATAGCGATCGCATGTCCATGTTAGGATTCTAATCTGCCAGTGACAAAGCATTTAGTTAGGCTTCTAATATTCAGAGTGCAAAATCCATAGAAGCTGATAAATCATTTGAAGCTGTTTGCATTGCTGTTTCTCATTTGATTTCGTGGGTTTGCGATCTTGATTTTCCAAACGTCCGCAAATCAATTTTAAACACGCAAAATTACAAAACACAAATCAAAACAATAGTTCAAACCTAGTCTTGATCTCTATGCTTCATTCTCAACACAGGTCAATTTTAATCCCAAAAAAAAAAAGAAGAAAAAGAAAAGAGTAAAGCCTGCAATATCAAATGATCAAAGCAAACACGCACGAAATTATCAAGCGCTTCTTCAAACATATAGGAGTCTTTGACCTAATTACTGATGACGTGTCTTTCATGCGAGACAGAAGGGGTGTGGAAGCATAAGCTGTCTTAATTTGAATTATTAGTCTCGTAAGCATGATACAAATAACATTAATCCCAATTTGGTTCAACTAACCACCCCAATTTGCAGCCACATTACAATAAGTCAATAATTGACTAATAACTAATCAGTCTTATGAGTTTAATTAATTGCTTCCACGTTTGAACACTACTCAACGTACGACTCTCGCTGCTTGTTGGGGTCAAACGTTGTGTCGTTCTAAGTAAGCAAAATGTATAAACGAACCATCAATCAACATTTTGACTGATTTATCTCTACTTTGTGTTCATATACATGATATATGTAAATACAAGCCATATTACGTGAAATTTTCATGTTCTCTTGTAAATCATTCAACGACGTATTTATGGTGGTCCTTTATATTATATCTTAATATTCAATTTGGTTAATTTTTAGATGTAAAACAATATACTCCCTCCGGTCCTTAAAATAATGTATTTTAATTTGTCTTAAGTATCATCTAGTGCATATTTTTAATTGATAAAAAAACTTTAAAAATATTTAATAACAATCAAGATAACACAACGAATGTGACAATATATGTTTAAGGTTTTTTTTTTCCAATTAAAATACATACTAGGTGAAACTTATGACAAATCAAAATACCTTATATTAAGGACCGGAAAGAGTATCTAACAAGGTAAAAGCGACTTATGGTAGAGACGGATGGAGTAATTTATACTAGTAACGTATATAGTACATACCACACATACTTGTACAGTATTATGCTAGGGGTGAAGAAAAGGAAGAGTTGACAATTTGATCTCTTCAATTATCACTGGTAATTAAAAAGTGCCAAACACCCTAATTATCTTTCACTGATTTGACCGAAAAGTGATTAGGTTTTGGTTCGAAAGTCTAATCACACATTTTTACCAAATTTTTGGGGTTTGAAATTGTTCATGAAACCTTGACGAAGCTCGGGTGTGGAGGATGAGAACATTTTGTACGTTCTCCAGGCTGCAAATGATGAATACTATTAAATGGCTTTTTCTAAAGTCCAAATGAGCAAGGCTACCTAATCTATTCGGCTTCTCTCTCTCTTTTTCTTTTCTTTTTTTTTTTTTTACAATGATCTATCCTGGCTTTGATAAACCCTTGCGGCTATTTTTTCTTTTCAAAGAAAAAAAAATTATTATTGTGAACAGTACAATGATTAATGGCATTACCATTCAACTTTTCAAAGCTTTATTTTTTTTTTGATGAAATTAATTAATTAAGAGCCAGACTTTGTGGTCCACGTTTTCTTAACCCCCAGGGTTTTGTTGGTTTGTGTTCTTAAATTTATTATTGTTTTTTTTTTTCAAATGTTCCCACCAAATTAACGTGGAACCCATTAAGTTGACAAACTTTCTCCAAAGATTTGCGGATATTGTGGCCTGTGGTGTAGCTAATGACTTGCTTAACTGTATATAGGTAATTAACATACTTAAAAATGGCTAATTAATGGCTTATATCACCATAAAATTTATGAAAAAAAGAGCTAAAAACTAGATTAAAGTGTCGGTCAGAATTCAATTTTCTGATTATAGCTTTCTGTCGTCGATTTTTGTTGGACGACTTCCAAAATTAATAATTTTGCATATACATACAAAAGTTGTTAGAAAGACATATAGAGACTGATTTAGAGTATAATAACTCATGAAATGGTTTTGATACGTACGGTTCAATATGGTCATAGATAACTCAAATAATCAGTTCAGTTCTGATCGAAGTGGATTGATTATATGCTACTACTTAATTCCTAGATTAGGACATCTTACTTCTATAAGTAAAAATCTAATAAGTAAAATAGCTTTATTCGTCTCTAAAGCAGACATATTATGATATTAACACAACAACCCCCAAACACACAAAAAAAAAGAAAGAAAAGAAAAAAAAAGATGTGCATGTGATTTATTGTAAAGCCATGAATTAGTGTGATGAAGAGGGGACCTTTCCCGGTTACCAATTAACCTCCATCCTTTTTAGGTTAATCAAAAGTTAAACTTCTCTCTAAGACCTTCTTTTGATTCATCAATTCTTTGTTGCCTTGCATGTGTAGACACCAGAGTGGTTTGTCTTTCAAAATTATATTCCATCCAAAAACAATAATACATAGTCACATTGTTTTATAGGATAAAACGAGTTTAATTTATAGATTTTTTGCGAAGTAGTAATTTTGTTACTAATCTCTTTTGCTATTACATCCTGCTCTATCATACCAAATTAATCTTGCGTTTTTTCTTCCCTTTTTTTTTTTTTTTGTTTAGGGGCTTTGCAAACAATATAATTCGGATGTCTTGACAACAGAAATACATGTATTTTGAAGAAAATTATTGTACGACCGGCTCATAGAATATTTTCGGCTATACATAGAAACAAAATTTTACTTTTCTAACGACTTCGTAATTGACGAATAGCAAGTACATGCGGAAGTGATATTTGATGTTATATTATTATAGTCTGTCAATCAGTGGTTACATTTGGTAATGCTAAGGCAAGTTGGAGTAATTAAAAATCAGCCATACATTACAATGATTAATTTCAGTTAGGGCAGGCAAGAACTTATACCAACTTGCCAATATGATGAAGTCATTTTCTTTGATTTTATGTTTGTGTGAGCATGTAAAAAGGATAAACTTTATTATATTGCACATTTACACTAGCATGTCAAGGGTTATTGACGTGTGTCACAGTACATATGCACTAGTAGACATTTTCATAATGGTTATTCAAATTAATTTTCAGTTTAGAGACTAGAGTCTCTCCACTATTTAGAAATGAGAATTACACTCTCCCACCTTATTTCAAAGATATACAAATTTAAAATATTGTGCCAGTTGTTACGGAACGATCTTTTAATCACAAGAATAAAACGTGTTTCAAATAGCACTTTAGATGCTAATTTTGTAAGTATTTTCTCTGTCCTTAAAAAATAATTCATGTTATATTTTGATATTTATATTAAAAGTATACAAATTTGAAAGTTTGATATAAAATGATGGGTATCTTCTAGGTTTCCAATTCAAGTTTAATGTCCAATAATATTGAGGTATAGTATAGTGGTAAGACACATTTTCTGTTTTTAATAAGTTGTAAGTTTGAGTCACAACGAGAGTAAATTAGGAACTATTATCAATACTTTTGAAAAAAAAAATCCGAAAATTTCATGGCAATGTAAATTTATTCTTACCATCCCAAATTCTAGTTAGATCAAGTGATGGAAAAGATAATTATTGGACGATTGTCAAAGAATTTTCACCTTAAAATAATTATGGTAAACGATTAATAACTTTAACACAGCGTATATATATATTTTTATATTTGTAGTACACATAGCTCTGGCGATATTTTTACACAATTGACATGCGTGTCGTTAGTCGTTACTAAAACTAATTTTAAAATAATTAAAAAAACTAAAATCTAATAAGTAAGCCTACGAGTTACCTTTTCTACTGTTTCTGCGAATTCATAAGCCAAAAAAAAAAAAACACGGAAAAATAATAACGGTAACTGATGATGACGAAAAATAATCAAATAGTAGAAGCATCAAATGCATCATAAGTAGATAACCTTGACCTAACGCTTTTGTGATTCAATTAGCGTCTCTCTAACTTAATAATTGACGATAACCCGGAGATAAAGTTACTACAGTGGTCCTAATCACTCTATCCTACATTTTCGTGTCTTAACTACCGAAATTACTGCCTTTCTTGCCGGGCAAACCTTTTTATCCCTATTCCCCATCCTCTATCAAAAAGATAACACCAAAACCATTAATTTTATACCCACAAGATAGATTGTTTGGTTAAATTTTCATCCTCCCATCTCCAAGATTATGGCTCAAAACCCTAGTTAATATCGCTATATATATATATATATATTTGTAACTTTCGGATGAATTCACTTGGTTTCAATAAAATCTAATTCTAGTAATATCATCACAAGATGTAACAGTCACGTGATAAATGATATAGTAAGTGAAAATATCATTAAGTTGAACACAATAGTAATATGATTAGAGTTGATCAACTTAATTAGCAAACGGACACGGAAAGACGACTTTTGTTAATTGTCGTCTTGCGAGAGATTTAAATAAAAATTAAATAAAGGGCATACTGGCTCTTTAAGAATTCGATTGGGCAGGTAGAATATATAGCACTTCATATATAATTAAAATTTTCATAACTTAAATAATGTGGCGAAAACAGTGATATATGCAAAACCCACTAGGGCAGAAAGAAAGAAAGGGTCAGCAGAAGACGACTGATGGTTTTAACTGATAGCGAAGAACAAGAAGAAGAAGATGAGCAAAAACACACTGCACCACTTATTGCCTATTTCTTCTGACTTCTTCTACGTAATACCTAGCCACACAGCCCACTATACTGTTTTTCATGAATTGTTTAATCAGAGAGAGAAGCCAATGAAAATGCTTAGAACAAGAAGAAGGGGGAACTAATTAAAGGCAAAAGCTGAGTTCTGGTGAAGAGAGACACCACCACCATATGAACAAAAAAAGAAAGTGAGATGATGAAATCATTTTGTTGGAGATTCTTGCAATTTTTTATACATGTATATGGAGGATTCCTATATGGACACTTACCTAGAAAATATGCCTTTTCGGTACTATTTTATTTGTGAATGCCAAAAAATAAAATAAAAAATTGTGCAATCCACAAAATAAATTAGTTATATTCCCTTTCTTCCATTTATTCCCTTGCGGCTATGACCCTCACACTACATCCATGTAGCTTAAGCTATTCAAAGAACCAATGTGATAACATTTATTTTTAACCCCACCCCCAAAAAAATCAAAACAATAACATATATCGCTTCAGTTTTCGAATGACAAAAGTTTATTTTGTTGTCCTTAAATGATTACGCTTGTATATACTTTTTAATGCAGTAATACAACAAACAAGGTCATTATTCTTTTTATTTTAAAATAATTGTTCAGATTAGATTTTTATTTTTAAGATAATTTGAATCAAAATGAAAATTCAAAGTGTCACGAAGGAGTACACAGTTTAGAATATATTGAAAAGTACAAAGAAATGTTCTTTTTCCCTTCCTTTTTTTTGGGGGGGGGGGGGGGGTTGGGTTTGTAATGAATTAGATTATTGAATAAGTAAATAAAACGCTATTAGAAAATTGCATGTAATAGTTTGATTGTCATGATTCACCCCTTTACGTATACTTGTACGTTTTACTGCTTCAAATCCCTTGCAGCAAACACAAGGCATTGCCTCCTATCATATTTCTCACAGCGTTTTTTTTATTCATCAGTCAATTAAACTAACATTAATTTGAATGAATCAGTTCGTTCCTTCTAGCTTGATCATTGGTTTTAGAAGCCCTTTACAGTAATTTATCATTTGTAAGAACTATAACGTATATGCAGAAAGAGGAAGTAGCTAGGGTTTGGTGAAAATGATCAGCATGTTCTCATATTATATTTATACAATGTTACATACCAGATGACGGAGAGAAATTAAATCTCTTTATAAAATCATTAACATCAATCTCATAAAAAAACAACCTAGTTGTTAAACTAAATTATGAGACGGAAGGCTTGGATTGTTACTTAGTTAATTAGGCGCAATTGCATATCCCCCCTTGGAATCCGCCCATATATCTCACTTGTTCCTAATTGAACATTTGTGAAATTAAATTTATTTTACAGGGTTTGAAGAAAGTCTAGACCAAAGATGTTTGACCATGTACACCATGTACCGTTACTTGTTCTTTCTGCGAGTAAACAACAGCTAGAAGAGCGTCATTGATTCACAGATTGTCCAATGGTTAGTACATATAGTTGATGAAGATGAGACCCTTTAACCCTCCTTTAATTTGAAACTCCAGGGAAAATTTTGTAGTATCTGTGCTAAAGAATTTTGATATTTAAATCAAAATCAGCAATTAAAAATGGTACAATTCGTTGTTTATAAACAGATTCTGAGGGAGTTATTATTGTTTATTATTTTATCTCTGTTTGCTCATGTGCTTCATGGGATTAACAAGAGAATATATCAATCGTGTATTTGTGTTGACATTAGTAAAATAAATCAGTTCTTTATTAGTAAAGTAATTAATTAAGAACTTACTATTTCCCTTCAAATGACCTATATATGTACGAAAAGCTATCAAACGAGGGATCATAAAATAGTTGGGGAAGATGAACTAGGTGATTAAAAATAGTAAATCAAAGTACTCATCAAGCAAGATCTAGGCATATCAATTTAAAACCCCGAGTTACCTCGTGATGCAAAAGATGATGATTATAAATAATCAACTCATTGTGACCATGATGATTACAAAGAACAAAATATAATTATTATATTAGATCTCTTCCTCCTTTTGGAAATTACCACGGATAAATCATTAGTATCATATCGATCAGTTTCAAGAAACTCCATATCTTCACTTGAAAAGGCACACAAATTAGTAACTAATAAATTAATAGCTAAATTTCCTTTCAATTCAAACTTTTTCTTCTAAAAAATTGTTCTTATAAACTCATCACAGTATGCAATGGGTTAGTTCTCATTCTGCAAAGCAAATTGGAATAAACATTACTATGTTCCTAGTAACTGTGAGTGTCTGTGGGTTTGGATAATAATATATGATGCATTCGTGCTGATAATTAAAAAATAAATAAATAAAAATGAAATGGAGTCTTTACTGCTTGGATTCTCATCTTTCAAGCCTGTGGGTAAGAAGACTACTGAACTCCTCAAAGTTAGTGAGCTCAAAAAAACACAAAGAATTCCTGCATACTTACTTATATATACTCGATATAAAAAAATTGATCTCGACCCAATTATTATTATATATATCCAAACCACAAAAAACATCAAGCAGGAGAAGACGAAGCTAGAAAGATCACAGATGATATATATATATATATATATATATATATATATATATATGAAGAGACCTAATTACAAACAAAATTTATGAAAAAAGGGAGGATCCAAAGTTCTGAGTAGAAAAAAAATTCGAGAGAAAAATATACACATCTATCATCATCAAACTTGTAACTCTTAACATTATTTCTACTCCCTCTCCATATTCAACAAGATCACACAAAATCAAGAGAATGAAGCTACTTTACTTGCAATTACATTAATTAACACTAGGTACCCCAACATATTATTTTTTTCCTTTTTACCTCTTAATTAGTTTTGATTTGATCGATCAATAAGGAGGGCGTCCATGTGCCCAAGCATAAGCTTCATGGTTGAGTTGTCCGCCATTTGGCATCAAATTCGGTGGCAAATTGTACATTGAAGCCGGATCACCACCACCCATTCCACCTCCTCCTCCACCTTGTGGTGGAGCTCCTCCGCCACTCCCCATCGGCGGAGATCCACCACCAAGCTGCCCTTGAGCTCCACCACTACCGCCACCGCCGCCGCCGCCGCCTTCCTCTTCGTCTTCAATCGGTAGCCTCTCATAAGTAGCATTAGAGAAGGTTGAGGCAATCACCATCACCGGCCCAGAAGCCACAAGCGAGCCCACAACGCTTCCCCCAACAACCTGGCCTTGTCCACCGGCCAAATAAATGGTCAGCCCAGTCGCACCCGGAGGGGCTGGGCCGGGAAGAAAAGCCCCGGTCAAAGAAAGGATCTCAAAACGGCCATGTAAAGCCATGACAGCTCCCGGAGCCGAAGGCTGCCGGAGCGTGACGTTGGTAACCGTCCCGCTGGCGCTCAGAACGCAGACTCCCCTCTGTCTCCGGCGGGCGAATTGGGCGATGCTCTCGGCGATGTCCGACCCGTTTGCGACCTCCATGACGTGGCTCCGGAGCGCATTCGGGCTGTCCCGGGTGACGAAGATCGGGGGTTTGGGCTTGTTCTTGGACCCCGGTGGCCGGCCTCTGGGCCGCCGGGTGGCGACTTCGACTGCGCCTTCTTTGGGCTCGTCGGTGCTGTTCTCTCTGTCGTCTTCATCGTCCCTTCCGCCGCCGCCGCTGTTGTCGTTCATTGATATGCCTAGATCTGGCTTCTTCAGAACCGGAGAACCGGTTGATGATGATGTTTCAACCCCTGATAAACCTACCGGGCCGGTCCACCACCGGTTCGCCATATCTGGTTCAGGCTTAGCTAGATAATTAAATTAGCTGATCGATGATGATGATGATCAAATCAAAACTTGCTTCAAGCTAGCAAATCAAAAGGAGTAGAGTTCCCTCTGGTATAGCTGGTTTTAGCTTAGATCTTTTGTTTATTTTGGTCAATCCAACCAAAATCATTAAAAATTCAAACCCTTTTTTTTTTTCCCCTTATACAAGCTGTGTTGTAGTTAAAAATATATATATCTAAGATAAGGTTTTCCAAGGAAAGGGTTTTTATATATATGGGAATTTTTGAATATCAAAGGAGAAATAAGAATAGATAGATGAGATGATCGATGAAACCAATATAAGAAAGGATCTAAACTATAGAAGAAACACAAAGAACCAAAGTACAGTCTATAAGAACACACGCAATTAACAAGGAGAGAGAGCAGAGAGAGAGAGAGAGAGACTGAGAAAGAAGAGGTTGGAAGGGGTTCTTCTTGGCTTTCTTTTTTCTCTTTTTATAACACTTAATACTAATATATTGTGTTGTGGGTACGTACCTTTTTCCTTTTTTTTTTTTTTAATTTTCTTCTGTTGGGATTTCTATGATGTCGTTTCTTAGGAACTTTATTAGTATTATGGTGGTAGCCTTGTGGTGGGGGTGGTATGTGTGTGTTTTTAGCGTCAAAGTTTTCTTGGATGTCTGTCTTTTTCATCGTCTCACTCTCACACATTAATACAGAGAATCGGTGGCTCTATCTTACATATATATATTCAGTGTCTCTTTGAGAGAAATGGGAGAAAGGGCGGAGTCTCGGAAATTAGGGTTTTCGAGCGTGGGGTCGCGGGCGCGTGTTGAAGTGGGTTGCACGTTTGTGCATATGCATTACCTATGAAAAAAACATATATATATATATATATATATATATATAATAACTAACAACGTTATTTACTTTAACTTAGACATAATTGGTAAACAGTGATTAGCTTTATAATACACAACATCGGCTCTCTACAATTTGGTACACTACTGATAATCAACAAGTGAATACCCATTGACACAAACACATAAAAGTCAACTTTATAAGTGATTGTAATAGTTATTGTATATGGTCTTACTAATACATAACTAAGGTAACGATTAATGACGATTATTCTGTGAGTTCATTATCGTTCACCTCTCACATTGATCCTAACTAAATCATTTCTCTTCAGAAATTTGAATCAAACTATCTCACCTTTATTCATCATTATTTTATTTCTGGAAGTTCATATTCACTTTGCCTTGTCTCTATTGAAGTGGCATATTCTTATCAATTGTTACTTAATATTTGAATGAATACTATTGGTAAATGAATTAGATATGCAAGCAGTGTATTTATAAATGAATTTGTAAATATGAACATACATCTATGGTTGCTCATTAGGTTGCTTAACGAGGGGAAATGAATTCTATAATACAATCGTGAATGAATGACTAGCTCCGAATCCAAAATGTCTTTTATGCATTTAGGTCATAAATTTTTTCAGAAAATATAAAATAAATTCAAGTGGCAATGTTGTCCATCATTTTTGTTGGCAACTACACATGCCGAGACAAATTATTAAAGAATTCGGTAATATACACACATAACATATAATTACCGTATAATTTCCTTAATTTATGGTTTTTTTATTAACGACGTTGGGAGCCCCACCAAAGATGAGTAAACTCACGCTCACTGTAATAGCCTGCAAAACACAGTGACGGGTAAACCACCCTAGACAAGCCCGTGGTGACAAGATCGCCGGTGCAAAATCGGAGGTTCATTAGTGGGTTTGCCCTAACAAGTCTCTAGAGGTGCCAATGGGTAAGGTGTGAATCAACTCCTTATTTTTTGTTAGAGTAGAGGATTGAACTCATGATCTCGTCTTAGGAGAAAGGGTGGTGTTATTACTGAACAAACTCCTCGTTCGCTTAATTTATGTTATTATATATTATTTTATTTTAACAAAATAAATTATTGAAATTTGATGGAGGGAATATAAATTTTTCCCAGGAATTTCGTATTTGTGAATGAAATGTACACTCGATGGAGCAAGTGCTTATCAAACATTAGATGTAAATTTCATTGAAACTTCACAATTAATATGATGACTTTAAGAGAAGCATGCTCGTGACATGCAAAGACAATATTTGAATTTATAAATTTTGTAAGTGACCTAATGTGAAACATTTCGTTAGTATAAGAATTGTGACATTAGTATAGTAATGCAATATGAAATATGATCTATAGGATAACAATGTTACGTTGTTATTATTATTATTATTATTATTAGTTTACAATATCCATTGGTACGTACGTGGCATTGTTTTGGTCGTCAAAGCAGGCGAAATCGGGCGGCGTTTGTTTGAAGCTTGGAAAGAATACTTTTCTTTTTTTGGATCGAGTTACATGTAACTAAAAACACACACTAAAAAAACTGTCCCATCTTATCATAACTTTTTATATTTTTAATACACTTTTTTATATTTTTAATACAAAAAACACCTAAAAATACACACTAACAAACGAAACAAACATACCCTAAAGTTTTTTTTTCCCAGTAGAAAGGGTAATTATTGTTTTCCTTGATTCTTATCTTTTCTTATTCGGACAAGAATTTCATGACTTCTGGCCATTTTTCAATGAAAAAATGTTCAGAAACAAAGAGATCATGCGGAGGTCACAGTTGAAATCGAAAAAGGGCAAAAACCATTTTTTTAAAGGACGACAAAGAGATTTCTGAACGTTTTATATATACAAATAATTATAACCCATATTTCTAAGTTTTATATGAATAATATGGATTAATGTACACGACCAAGGATGGATTGTTTATATAGAAGAGGAAGGGATAAATGTCATGCAGATCATCATTTCTGTTACCACTAATTAATTAATCAAAATTTTAATATAAACATCTTTTAAGTATGTTCTTTCTATTTCGGGATTCCATAATAAAATTTTACTTTCATAATTGACTAGAGTCAACTAAATTTTATACGTCGTTTTGTGCTTGTCATCAATCATCATGTCATCTGTTAAATGGATTAATTAACAAAAAGCTTCAAAACAGTATGATGATGCCAAAGCTGTTTTGTAAACTTTTCAAATACAGGTACAATCCTATTTCCCATATGCGCAATTTAGAAGTATTCTTCTAAGATTTTGATGCTGTATCCCAGATTCGCATTTCTTTGAGATTAAAAGATCGATTACTATTGTTATTATTATTATTATTATTATTATTATTATTATTATTATCTTATACTTTACAGAACGTAATATTTTAATTTGATGTATTTTTTGAACATCGTTTCAGATCATCAAATGAGAGAAGGCATTTGGTTATTACCATGTTATAATCATTTGTAGTTAAATGTGATCAATGAAATTTTGTTATGAGTGTATATTTATCTGAATACTACTGTTAGATAATTAGATCGAATTGAACAATTCTTTTTTCCTCTGTGGTTCAGTCGATGAGCAGGTCAATGAATGATATCCCCCAAATTAGATTTCTGATAATTAGTGGCTTAAATTTATAATAGAACTATCTATAGTAATTATAATTAATGTCTTCAGTAAGAAACAAATTACATATGATCCATTCACTTCCTCTCTTGGTTGCAACTCAATATAATACACCAATTTGGTTATCGAATCTTTCCACTCTTCCCTGTGACACAAACACAATTTAATCATATGGGAAAATTGGGTTTTCCATTTTAAAAAGGAAAAGAATCATAAAGAATACCTTTTGTCCCATTATTTCCTACTCTTCCATATATATAACTTTTGTTAATCAATTAACAAATATTCTGTCCCTTTTCTATTGATTATTTCTGTGTAGCTAGTTAATGAATCAATGATTGATAATTGTTCAACCTAGCTATATATAGTGCATTATTGGAGATCTTATTTAACTTTAATTAAACAGTGACCAAAACGTCCATATACAGTTTCTTTCTTGTCTTATAAGTTGGGTTGTGTCCACATCGATTTTGATTGAATCATTAAATTAATTTCGATAGCACAAAGAATGCTAATCTTAGACCGATCAAAAGTACTCATGTTACAATGCAATAGTTTACAAGTCTTGTCAGTGAAAAATTAAATAATATAGAAGTCATGTCAGTGACATTTCTGAATGCAAAAGTTTAATATTTGTCTTGTTTTAATTATTCCACAGGATTATTATTTTCTTAAAAAGAATTCTGAATTAATTAATTCATTCTGATTTAATTTGGGTAGATACTCTTGATAGCTTATAAGGGATGATGGACCATATGCGAGCAGCAACTAATTAATGGAAACATCAATAGGGTTTTGCTCTTCGAAATCTTTGATGTGTTGAGAACAATTTGTACGGCTACAATAATTTTTCTCGTTGTACGAAAGAATAACTAATAACATTATGTTCCAATATTAATTTGGCCTAATAAATTCCATACATCAAAAGAAAACTATCACCAAGAACACCAACACATGTACCCTTAACCCATCTCTAATTGGTACCGAGTTGACTAAAACTACCTAATACTGTCGACTGTTTTTTGGTGTATAGATTCAGGACAGTATTTTGTGGGCATACAAAATTCGTTCATGTAAATTCGTCTAATTGATTGTTTAAAAGTGGGATGTTTTTAAGAGATTTGACTGGTTATATTTTTCTTCGTATCTTGTTGAACCAAATTTAACCTGTTTGATAACATATTTAATACTAAATTAGAAATATTAAATTCACTCAGTAATTACGAAATAAACAATAGGTTAATTTTTATTACTTACTACTTAATTACTAGTATAGTTACTAAGAGGTTCGGTTTTTTATTATTAAACATATTGATATAAAAAAGTGTTTAATAAAATAACTTCAAGCAATGATAATCTTTATCAAATAGACCCTCTTGGAGTATTGCTTCATTAGATTAAAGTTTGAGTTCGAATAATAGAAAGTTAACATGTAAGGTTGTCTCTTCGTCTAATTTTACGATCTTTAAAGTAAATACCTGAATTTTAATTTACCTACTCATCAATTATACAAATCCATTATAGATTCTTATAAATTTTTCTTTTTTTTAGATTGGTATAATGAAGTGAATAATATGCATGAAATGGAAGTTGGAAAATTTTTTCCACTTTGGAGTTTTTCTTTCTTTTTTGCTTTTTAGTTTTTTGTTGGTTTATTGACAGTGGGTTCAAAAAGAAAATATTATTGTGCGCTTGGTGCTATGTTCTAACAGGCTCTTCAAGCACCAACAAGTCGATGTACCAACATCTTTGTATGGCCCTTGACCTAATTGTACCTAAATCATCAAGTACTTTGATGATGGTAAGTACCGGACCTAAATTATCAATAGGCTCTTTAAGCACTAACAAGCCGATGTACCAACATCTTTGTATAGCCTTTGACTTAATTGTACCTAAATTATCAAGTACTTTAATGGTGGTAAGTACCGGACCTAAATTATCAACATGCTCTCCAAGCACCAATAAGACGATGTACCTAACCCTGGTCCTAATTGTAGGAATTAGCAAGTATAGAGACTAAAGTATAATTTTAAAAAAGGGACTATAAAAAGTCTGCCAGGAACTGTAATCAGATTATCGGAAATTATAATATCAAATTGGAATTTTCCAATTTCTCTCATCTTCCTCGATTCTCCCAAATTCAAACCCTAAATTTCATCCGGCCTGCTCTGTTTCTCCCGTTTTTTTTTACGACCACCCCAAAAGGTCTGGTCGTGATATTTGGTATCAGAGCGGACAATTCTCGGCCGTCTCTATATCAGTTTCGTCTACTCGTTCATTCTCTGCTTTTCCCTGCCGCTTCTTAACCCTCTGAAAATCTGAAATCCCATTTCTCCCTCTCTTTATTCTGAAATCTGTGCCATTTCTTCATTCTCTGTATCACACCAAAATTTTTTTCATTTGGATTCGGATTTTTACTCCCCGATTTAGATTCCGGTGAATAATCAATGTGTATCAGCGATTACCATTCAAAAGTCACTGCCCTGTTGGCCTTACCACCAACAGCGGCGTATCCTCCAAGTCCAACGTCATCCGGTCTACCTCAACCGTCACCAACAGAAATTTTTCTTTTCACTGGCGAAAATCTATGGCTTTGGTTATCCCGGATTGAAGACTATTTCTTCTATCATTCAACACCGTCGGATAAGAAGTTATTCGTGGCTTCTCACTACATGTCTTATGAGCCCCTCCAATTTTTATATGGCTTAGAACGTGCCTCGCAATTATCGAACTGGGAGAGATTTACTGTTCAGTTGGAGCTCCAGTTTGGTAAAGTTATCTGGCCGACAATGGTGGTCAACACTTGGGAAGCCAGCGATTATCAGTCAGGGAATGAAGGAGCGTCGGTCAAGGCGAATGAAGAATTTGATGGTGATATAGTACTGGAACCCGAGGCGACATCATCAGAGGAGGAAGTGGAGTCCGCTGTTGACAGCTCTGTTGAGATGTCTGATAAGGATGGAAATTCCTTGTTTCAAAACGTAAGTTTTGCCACATTTGCAGTTCCCGTAGCTACTTCCTCAAAATGGCTGATGAAATTGTGTTATCGGGTAATCTGGATGCATCTCCTAAGGCTATAGTAGTTTATTGTGGGAGCCTTAGTGAAGTAAATGATGAAGTTGAAATGAATATAGATGTTTTACTGTCTATTAATAATTCCTTTGTAGGATTGTGAATGAACCCGCATGTGTATATAAAATTGTTGAAATGGAAAACACTACTGTGATAGTGGATACTGATGTGGACGATTATTCGATAGCTGAGTCTATAGTTTTGAGTGGAATTTATAATGCTTCTATAATTGCGATGAGAAGGGTGAACATGTGCTTTTCCTGTGATCTTGGAAACTCGTTTTAGGCTGATCCAGGGGGATTAGAAAGTCCTGTGGATGTTGATGAAGGGAATAATTTAGGTGAAAATAATACTGCCAATTTAAGTGATAAAAATGTCGAGTATTGCATGTTAAAAGTGAAAGTGATGAATTGCCTAAAAATATATTTATGAGTTTGGAGCGTGCTGAGTCTGTGATTATTAATGATGATGATGTTCATGTTTCACCTGAAAATTTGAATGAGATTGATGAAGATGTTAATTTGGAAATGTTAAAAGGCATTAAGGATTTTAAAAAATTGATTGTGAACATTGATGAACCTGTTGTTCCGTTGGAAAATTTGGACGATAAACCTGAGGTGATGAAGGATATAATTGATGCTTCTATTAATTTGAATGAAGAAAATGGCTCAGTGAGTTCTGAAAAATTGAGTGAGTGTGCTTGTCTGGATCATGTTGATAATAAGTGGGTGCATTCCGTTCATGTTGACCCTGGTGGATCAGAATGCGCTACTGATGTTGATTTTGGTGATTGTAGTGTGATTTCTAATAAAACTGAGGTTGTTGATGGTGGATTTGGTTCTGATTTTAGGATAAAAAAAATTAACAAAACTCTTTATTGAGGATGCTTTAAAAACTGATGTGATGGTTACCTCCCTGTTGCTTATTATTAAGGAAAAAATAGAAGATAATCCGGTGAATATTTTTAATGTTGGGGTTAACTAGGAATACATGTGTAACTGTATTATGATTGCTTGCTATTCGTGGTTATATTTCGAAGATGTAACTAAGTCTCTCTGTTCTGTTAGAAAAGGAAATCGTCCCAGTCTTTTTGCTATTGATCCTGGAGTGCTAGTACAACTCTCCAGTGCTAAGGGTTCCCTTGATATTGGATTGAATGTTGTTCTCCGGCTGTTGAATGAATCGAATGCTGAAACAATTAGTCAAGGGCATAGAATCAGTAAGTTACTTAACTATTGGAATGAAATTGTAGAGGTATTCAAAGGTGGAACCAGTGATATTATGGAAGTAATCATTTTTGCTGTTGAAATTTTTAGCCTCTTCAATTCTGAATTCACTAGAAAGATGCTAAACTCATTAAGAGTTGTTTTTTATACTAGTAGTTACAACTGTAAGGGTTCAGTTCTTTCTAATTACAACTGTAGACTGTGGAATGTCAATTCTTCTTTGTCTTGTAGCCTTGAGGGCAAGGCTGAATTTGTGGGGACAGAGTTGATCGAAATTGTGTATGAGAATGTTGCAACTGCCAACCGTAACAGGAAGACATTGCCTTACCAGAACCCTATGTATGCTTACTTCTCTAATTATGTCTGGAATTCGGTATGTGATGTCTCTTTGCATATGGTGAGATTAAATGATAGTATAATGGGAGATTTATTATGCAAAATTGTTGTTTGTATTAGTTTAAATATGATGAATCATGTTAGGAAAATCTTTGTATGTACTGATGATGATAGTGAGCCTCTGGACCTATGATGCTGGTGTTAGTTTTGTGCCTAATATAATAGCCATTGTTCTTCCTGACTAAATTGTGCAGCCGAAAAGTTCCAGTGAAGTATTCTTAAAAGAGGAATCGCAGGTCAGAGATTGTTGGGTATTCAATGACATTTTCTCTGATCTTATTGAGTCTGCTAGTTGTTCAATTGTTGGAAATCAGTTCCATATGTTACAAAAATTACAGAATATAGTGAAATTGTGGGGAAATGATCTTGACCTGCCAGGTATTGTTACTGGTTTGTTGAAAGGTTCAATGTTTCTTGGCTTGTTATGTGATGTCGATGCCATTTTAGTTACAATTCTGAATTCTACTGTTATTACAAAGGCTAGCTGTCTATTTGCATTTGACCCTGGGGGATTAGTACATCTTTCCGGTGCTGAAAATGTTTGGACAAATAGAGTGATTAAAAAGGGCTATGTACTTGGTATTCATTATGGGAATTTGCTGCATTCAAATGATGGTTTAGAGTTTCAGAATCAAGAAGGAATACAGTGGTATCAGGAAGGAATGTTTATCCTCTCGGGAGCTAATTGAAGCACGAGAACTGAAGTACATCATTTGGGATGCAGAATTCGAATTACTTCAATGGCAGTAAGCAGTAACAACAACAACATTATCACTAAACTTTTGGAAATGGCTGCCCAAAGCTCACCACAAAATGAAAATGGTACTGTTTGGGATCCGGGAATACTTGTTGTAGAATTGCAGCTTGTTAGAATGCCATTTAAAGACACAAACAGTGAACACAGACCTTGGATTCGTATTGTGACTTTCTTCATAGATGCAGCTGTACTCTCAGAAATGGAAGCTTGGGATAAAAAAGTCAACCGTTTCAGAGGTGGAACAAGCATGTGCGAGGGTAGCATTAGAGCTTTAAGGGGAATTAATGACAAGAATTTCGTTTGGAAGGTTCCATGGCATGTTCTAGAGTTCATTCAACAATGCTACAAGTATGTCATCTCTCCAGTTCCAGCAACCATTAGAGTTGTCAAGTCCATTGCTAATGGTATATCTTATGTTTATCATTTCAATAGCTATCATATGTTTGTAGTTAACTTTTCTGTTATTGCTTTAGCAACTGATGCTGTGGAATGTAAAATCCAATGTGTCGATCATTTCCGATTGTAATAGATATCTAGAATGTAATCACAGTCTCGGGGACAAGACTGTTTTAAGGAGACGGGTTTGTCATGCCCCTGGACCTAGTTGTAGGAATTAGCAAGTATAGGGGCTAAAATATAATTTTAAAAATAGGGGGACTCCTAAAAAGTCTGCCAGGGGGTGTAATCAGATTATCGAAAATTATAATATCAAATTGGAAAATCAAATTGGAAATTCCAATTTCTCACATCTTTCCGATTCCCCCAAATTCAAACCCTAAATTTCCTCCGGCCTGCTCTGTTTCTCCCGTTCTCTTTTCCGGCCATCCAAAAGGCCCCGGGTCGTGACATGCTAACTGCTAACCGTTATATGGACTGTTATAAGCTTCCTTTTGCTTTATAGCCCATTATAATTTAACTAGTCCAAGTTTTAAGGTCTTAAAAGCCCAAAGTTGTCCAATTAGATCCTCTTTTCGGCCTCCGGAACCTCGCCAGCAACACACGGTGGTTGCAGAGGACATCGCGACCGAGCTATGGCCGGCGGTGACCTTTTCGGCGATCTTCCACCGCCTTCTTCAGCTCCGCAGCCTAAAACATTGAAATTCTCGGAACCTAATGGTGGCAGTAGTAAAGACTCAAAGACCACCGATGATAAAGAACCCTCAGCTAGCTCTCCTCCGCCACCTCCGCCGCAAGCACCCCCTCCTGCACTAAAAAGCGCACTAAAGCGTTCAAAACCATCTTCTCAAGAAGAACCGAAACCTGAAGGTAAGTTTTCACTCCTCCTTCCAATTGAAGTTCGTACTCAATCTTCAATCTTTACTCGTTTTGTTCTTATTATCGACCGTGATACGAAACTTACTTGTTTGATAATTGGTTTATGAAACGGAATGAAATTTTGGTTCGAAATTAGTAGCGATTACTTAGATTTTCATCTCTTGAGGATTTCTTAGGTAGTATAAGATTTTAGGAAGTTAATGTGCTGAGATTGTGAACTCGGTGATTAACAGTGGCATTGTCTGGAAAAAGATTGAGATTTAAAACGTCAACTGATGCCTCGGAGGCGCAAGTGATAGAGGCTATGAAAAAGATTGCATCCCATATAAAGAATCCTTCCAAATTTAGCAAGGCATCAAAGCTTGCTCTTCAGCTTATTCAGGCAGGCAGCGTGAAGCCTGCAACTAGTGATCACTTCTTTGCTATACTTGAGGTTGCAATGTCATCATCCACTGCTTGCAATGAGGCTTCTCTACGAGGTGACTACCATGCTTTGTTCTCCGCAGCCCAAGATGCAGCTGAGGTGCGAATTCGTTTTCAGTTTTGTCGTAAACTTCTTTATCTGAAGCATTTCGTGGTACGACGATTATTCAGCTCGATTTGGGTTTTTTTCTTTGCAGTTCTTTAATAACAAGCAGAAAAACCTCTTGACGACATGGACGATAAGGGCTGTTGTGGCAAATGATCTTCTCACCGATGATAGCTTTGTGGTATGCTCTTCACATTTTTGGTTACCAAACATGAGTATTTTGAATTCTTTTACATCTGCATTGGAGGCTTCTGATTTATGCTGTTTGTCAATATATATGTAGTGGTATTGTGTGCCCATAGTTTATGAATTCTTCATACTTTTGCGGAACTTAAAGAAGCATTAGATGATGTTGAATTGTGGTGATAATGCATTTGGTTTATTTACATGAAAGGGAAGTAATTTTTCTTTGTAGTTTGTCGACTTCTTACTTTTATCCCGTCTTGTTGGTGCGGATTTTCAGAGAAATGAGGTCAGGTGTCAATTAGTAATTTTATCCAGACCTTATCCTACCCTTTTCCTCTTCGATTCATTTTCTCAAATCCTCAGTGATTTTAATAAACTTCTAACTTTGTTCATGCCTGGGAAGCTTTGAACTTGAGGTGGTGAGAATGTATCTTGGTGGAGTTAGTATCCTTAAAGTACTACTCCAACCTTATGTCAAATATTCAGGAAGTAGGTGTTGTCACTCGCCTGGTTTTCTTATTACTTTAGCCAAGTTTTTTTCTTCCTTACTCTGGGTGAAAGCTCAAATGTTTCTGTGTTAATCAGTTATGGAATTTATATTATTTGTCTACCTGTTTTAATCCTCCACTGATAAGCAGTTTATCTTTTGGCAAAAACATTTTAGTTTTCAAAAGCTTCTGGGAGGGTAAAAGAAGCCATATCAAGTCTTCCTGTTGCCACCAAAGATGATGATGATGACGAATCCGCTACCTTGGCTGGTCAAGTGGATGTGGAGAATGCTAATGAACAGGCCGGTGGAGGTAACTCAAGTTCTGTGGATGAAGGAAAGGTTGAAGAGCCTGATCCTTTTGGGCTTGATGCTCTAATTCCTAGTACATCTAGAAAAGAAGATAGAATGAAGGGAAAGAAAGAGGCGATTAAAACTAAAGCATTAGAGGAAGAAGAAGCCAAGAACTTTCTCCGAAGACAGAGGGAAGCTTTGATTACCTGTCTGGAAACTGCTGCACGGCGTTATAAAACCCCATGGTAAAATTCAGTTTATGTCGTTTTCTTCCAATTGTATATTTCACAATGTAAATCTCAAGGCTGCTAATTTTGCCTTTAACTTGGAAGCATAACTGGTTTTCCCTTTTCAGGTGCCAAACAGTTATTGACATCTTAGTGAAGCATGCTTTCGATAATATTTCAAGGTTCACCTCCCAGCAAAGGGAAGCCATTGATAAACTGTGGGCTTCCATTAGGGAACAACACATTCGCCGGAAGCAGGGTAAGTCTGTGTCAGGGAAACTTGATGTCAACGCTTTTGAATGGCTTCAGCAGAAGTATGCTAATGAGAAGATCAGCATCCGACATTCAGTTGGTGGAAGTGGTGAACGCCACTGTGAGCAATGGCTTGGTTGATGTTTGTGTAGTAATACTTCTGCACCTTGTACCGCGCTTGGACATTGTTACCACTGCTGGTTGTTGTGTAGGTTGATCTATTCTTGTGTAACAAATTGATTATTAACTAAGGGCAGCAACCCAAGAAGTTGAAAGACTTCTTTGACCAATTCTTCTTCTTCCGGTTTATTTTGTTCTGTTCGGAATTGGAGCAAATAATCAAATATTAAGGTTAATCCAGAGAACATTCTGGTTGTTTGGAATCGCAAATAGTACACTAAAAACTTAATGATGAAATACTTTTGTTTGAGATCCTCGATTCAAATCTTAATTAATAGTACTCCAGAAGACCAGAACTAATAGTATCTTATAAAATTTCGAGGATTATTCATTTTTAGTACCCCTTCAGGACCAACTTATTGACAATCATTCTGTATCATGTATACAGTTCAAGAAGTTAAAGAATAAAATAATAAGCTTTCTCCAAATGAAAATAAAAATAGCAATTCGTGGAAATGTCGTTAAAAAAAGAAAAGAAAAGAAAAGAAAAATGATGCATATACTGTTGATATTCGATTTGTGGGGGTGATTTTGGATAGTAGAAAAACGTTAGGGGTCAAAGCGAAAATTACCGCAGAAGCCTTAAACCCTATCTTGGGCATAAACCCACCCCGTCTTCTATATAATGGCTCATAGATGAACCCTATAAGTTCAGTTCATACGCCGGATCTGCTCTTTCTGACCAACAAGGTATGAATTCACTTGCTTATTTGTTGTATTTCAGATTCAATCCGTTCTTTTCTTGTTTATTAATTAAAGTAGACGCACAAATCGAAGGCTTTACGGTTGGTTTTTCTAAACATTGTAGAGCTCAAAAATTGTGCAAAATTGAGGAACCCTTGGCAATTCGATATCTTCTTGAAATGCAATTTTTGCTCATTTTCAAGGAGGATTTTTACTTGGATCTACAATTGCTTATAATCTGACTTGGGCAGTTTCTCATTTCGTTGTTTGGTTCTGGAATCCTTTTACCATTTGGCTTATTTTGGGGGTTCATACTAGGGGTTTTTTGGAGTCTCCTAATTGATGCCTCATTCGTTTGTATATTTTCTGTTCGTATATTAAGAGAAGTAGGAAGGTCTGTACTGATTGTTAGTTCTCTTCTGATATGGCGTTGATGATTCAAGTTAAATTAGAAAGTTAGATTAAATGCCATTTCCTAGTGATTGTGATGAAGCTATCTTACCCTTTTTGTGTGTGTTTTGGGTTGCAGAACATGTCAAATCCAAAGGTGTTTTTTGACATACTGATTGGAAATGCAAAAGCTGGTAGAATAGTATTTAAACTATTTTCTGATGTTACTCCAAGAACTGCTGAAAACTTCCGAGCCCTGTGCACTGGAGAGAAAGGCATCGGAGCCTCAGGGAAACCACTCCATTACAAAGGCTCAATCTTCCACCGCATCATTCCGGATTTCATGTGTCAAGGTGGTGACTTTACAAAGGGGAATGGAACTGGAGGCGAATCTATCTACGGGATGAAATTTGCAGATGAGAACTTCCAAAGGAAGCATGATAAACCCGGTCTTCTTTCGATGGCTAATGCTGGGAAGAATACTAATGGATCTCAGTTCTTTATTACCACTGTGAAGACACCATGGCTCGATAACAAGCATGTGGTGTTTGGTGAGGTTATTGATGGCTATAAGGTTGTGGAGGCCATGGAAAAGGTGGGTTCAGATAGTGGAAGAACTTCTTCCCCAGTTGTAATAGAAGATTGCGGTGAAATTACTGACGAAGCTGGCTCTAAGTAGGTAAGTAGGTGGAGAAATAGCCTGAGGTTTAGGGGAATGAGCATACATATATATGATGGTTCTTTATTTTTGGTGTTTCAAATGGAAAAGGCATAAATAAATTCTGGCAGATTAGTCTTGGTTCTTTGCAGCCAGTCGAACAATTTGCAATTAAGAGTAATCTGAAAAAATGTGCAGATCTTTGTATTCGGGTTAAACATCAAAGTCATTCCTTTATTTTTCTTTGTAGTACTGTTTGTTTATAAGCACCCATGTGAGGTGCATTATTGTAACCAAGTATGGATTTTAGTATTCCTCGCTGTAGGCACCCCGGAGAATGATTCCTTTTCTCTTCATTGTGCATTTGGAAGTTCTTTGGATTTGAAACTAAAACAGATTAAATCATCTGTGTTTGTAAAGGCCTACAGGTGCTTATGTCAGAAAAGTAACCATCGGAAGTGTTTGTTCTCTGATCAATCTAAATTGGAATTTGTGTTGCACAATGTGTGCTAAGTCAGACTAATCATCAGCCAAACCACCATCTACTTTGGACAAGCAAATGTTGGTAGCTTCAAAGCATTTTGAACTTTAAACCACATTTAGGCCTTCTGATTTGATCATGCTGCAAAGCTCTCTCAAGTTCTCTGTTCTCCTTACCGTGGACTTTCTTGTGGCCAGTGGCAGGGGCAGCAGATGAGGACCGTCCAACTAACCTGATGTCATTCATATAGCCTCTTCTCAATGCAGCTGAAAGCTGAAGTGCAAACTCTGGAGCCTTGTTTGAACTCTGAAAGATTGGATTTACAGTCCTTGTGCTTAAGTAGGCTTTTCGAAGACATTAAAACAAGAGGTTCTAGGAAGTCCATGTGTATCTGAGAATATTACAAGATAAGTGAGAACAAAACGATCAAAATGATCAAATTTACCAAAACTTGAAACCCAAGACCTTACTAGATGGCGAAGAAGATGGAAATATTTTGAGGTAGTAGTTACATGACCTACTTGCCGATGGTATTCCTGAGTGTTTTTCAGGAACTTCACCCATCTTTGGGATGATGCCGGGGTGGTCATCACTCATCTGCAAAGGTGATACTAGTAAAAACCATGAAAATAATGGCAGTAACAGTTTGGAACATAAACAAAGTGTCAGGGAAGTTCTTCAGAAGTGTCCCTATAAAAATTTATTCCCAGGGCGAGAACTGTATGCAATGAGATAATAGTCTGCCAGTCAGTGGTAGGGGAGATCAAGCTATAAAATCAGAGTAATTCAAACATATACAACGAGAGAGAAGGCTTCTGCAGAACATCTGCCTCACTGAGTCTACCTCTTTGTGGCATCCCCATCACTCAGAACCCCAAAGATCTGCCAACTTATCTAACACGGCCTTTACTCTGGGAATCAAAGTTTTTGCATATTATTTCATGTACCAAAGTAAGTACTCACAAATTTAAAACTACAGCTCTTTTTTCCCAACCAATCATTTCAATAAGAATCAACTTGGTTTACTGAGTAGGGAGGAGTGTATGATCACACAAGTATTCTATCAAGGATTTTCATATAACAGCAATCAATAAAAACATTATTCACTACCATCATCCTGGAGCATGTCTCTTTCTGATTGATACCAATCACAAAGTTTTGCCATAGATCAAAAGTGATAATATTACATAACAAAGAAATGATATCTGAATATCATCTTTAAGATTGATTATGTTCATCTAGTAAACAATGGGAAAGGATTCTTTTACAATATGGCTAACTCAAAACTGATTACATCTCAGAAGATTATCCTATGATACTAAATGACATCCCTTTTTGTATCTTTTAAGAGGTTAGCTTGAACCATCCTCCCCAGGCATCAAACATCCAGCATATTTCTTGTATTGAAGAGCAGTGACATGTTGCATTAACCAGCTTCTAGCGACTGTTAATAAGACAGAAGCCAACCATCTTGCAAGGGAATTGAGAAAGATCCAAAAAAATCCGAATTTTTTAATCCCATTCTTCATCACTAATCTGGTCATCATAATCATCCCTTGGCGGCCTAACCACCATAAGTACAGAACCTAAACTCTCCTTGACACTGCTTTCCTTTAATGCCGATCCTTTTTCCACCTTTAAACCCTCCTCAGCGTTACCATTACCACCACCTACAACCAAATAAAACCCATCATCCGCCACCACCTCTTTCGATCCCCTGTCTGTCACCACCAAAAGGGGCTCATTTTGATTCCACTTGCTCGCTTTCCATGGCAAAACCTTGGAATCCTTAAATGCCACAGCTACCCCGCCTCTATTTAGACCCGCCACTGGCTCCCATCTTGGTAGCACCACCCAACTCTTCCATCCTTTCTCTGCCTCCACAACTCCAAAATCCCCTTTGCTTCCGCACTCCCACGGTGCATCCTCCACCTCAACTGTCCCACCCTCAGCTCTGCATACTGGCAGAACCGCTACAGAAGTAGCTTCAGCAACCTCTCCAATCTTCATCCTCACGACAGGCACCTTCACTGCTGACACTGCAAGTCCATCAGTGCCCGCATCATCATCTTTTCCTTCCAATTCTTCCAATACCTTTTTACGGGCAGTTTCGGATTCTAGCGCGTTCAGGGCTTTCTCCAATGAAGCCCTCCACAATTCCAAGTCGTTAGTAGCTTTATGTTCGTGAGCCAACCTATAATACATATAACCCAAACAATCCCCAGGAAGTTCATCATCGAAACTATCCCATCCCTTTTCCCCTTTCCTACGAGGCTTATCCTTCATAGTTCTAGCCAATTCCTGGGTCATTTTAGCATCAAATTCATTGGCCACCAAATACTTAGCAGCGGCAGCCCGCTGGGAGGCACTCAGAAGTCTAATTTCATACAAAATTTCAGCCCCAGTGACATCAAAGGAGGATATAATATCATCATCAACACCAGACTCAATTAAGGATTCACGAACCTGAGACGCCACGACGTAGCAGTTCTGCTGCACCCCGGTGATTCCAGTGATTTCTTCGATGATTGAAGGGGTGAATCCATCCTGAACCAAGTCGGGAATCAAAGGGGCAAACTCAAACCAAAGACCAAGACGGTCAGTGAGGATTTCAAGTTTGCCATTGATATCGAGATCACGAAATTTAAGAGGAAGTGGGGAAGGCGGAGGCCTAAAGGGCTGGTAAAGCTGCCTCTGTTGAGAAGAGGAGGAGGAAGATGAGGAAGGGGGGAGAATCAGGTCCTGAACTGAAACGGGTTTTGGGTTAGGATATGAAGAACCGTTGGGGAGAATTAAGGCTGAAATTGAGTGGGATTTTGAGTGATGGGGAGGGAGAGGTTTGTGGAGATGGAACAGGGGATGGGAAGGGAGAAATGGGGTGGAAAGGAAATGGGTTTTGGGGGTGTTCATGGTGTACATGGTGGAAGACAGCATTTTTGCTGTAAAGCTTGGTTTTGGGAGCTCTGGGTTGAAGGAGGAGGGGAAGTGATTGAATTGAACAACCTTATCCTCTGTTCTTCTTCATGGCAGCTGAGGAGGAAAGGGGGAAGAAGATATTTGCTTTTTGATATTTTCGAAGTGACTTTCGGTATATTCTGGTTTTTATCCTTTGAATTTCAATTATTGTTACAATTGCACCATTTCACCACCACCTCTACCTCCATCTTCAATTTAACTTCAACAATGTTGATTTTTTATTTTTTTGCACAAGCCATATACATATATATTAAGGCAAATGATATATCTAATGATTTATATTATTACCTAATCTAATCTAAAAAACTTAAATATAAAAAAGATGACTTAATCTTACAAATTAAAAAATTAATATGAAAAAATATATTACCTAATCTAATCTAAAAAACTTAAATATAAAAAAGATGACTTAATCTTACAAATTAAAAAATTAATATGAAAAATTATATAAATTTCATAATTATTATTAGTTTAATAATCACTTTTAGGTTATAACGATCTCATGAGTCTAATTTTAAGATTTGAATTTTTAAAATGAGATCTTTTTTGAGACAGAGGTAGTATAATATAAAAAAGAAGCAAACGAACTGGTTACTTGATTGGCCGATTATAACAATCAAGTTAAAATAACTCGCCGTATACACCAGATCTAATCACGAAGATTCAACTCTAAACACATAATAGATCAACTCAACATATAAAACTAGAACTACATCACTAATTACAGAGAGAGAACATACTGTTTCAAAATACAAAAATCATCTACAAAAGGACCTATATTGTAACGGAATTATACTACAAAGGCTAGGATCTTGCACTCCTGAAAATGATAAATCATACACCCACAAGCTACAAGCACTCCAACTTTGCTGCAGGTTCATTACTTTCGTGCCAATTTTTCACGGTGTAGTAGTCCTAGAATATGTAATAGCTAATCTAATAAGCCATAGGCTTTCTGCCTGTGCTTTTTGTTTACCAAAAAATAAAAAAAAATCATGAAAGGTCTACAAATTCTTCATCAGATATGTAAAAGAACACACAAAGAACAAAAATAAAGGGAAAAAAGAAAACCCCAAATAGGATAGATAGCTAAACTCTCAAAAAGGATATTCCCTTATTATAAAACATTTTGATTTGTTATAAGTTTTATTAAAGTGAAACTGTTTAAGATTTTATTTTCAATTTAAAAAATATACTAAATCAAATTTAGGGCAAAATCAAAATACATTATAATGAGAATGGAAGCGAGTAGACAAAAACTCTCATCAAAGAGAGAACAAGCTAGTGACAAGAAGCATATAAAAATAAAAGTTTGCTTTGACGTATTTAGAAAAAAAAAATTCCTGGTTTATAATTTTATTTTATTTTATTTTTGGTTAATGGCTTATAATCCATTCATCTCTTCATCGCGTCCAACTTGTATGTTCAATCACCATTGACCGGCAATAATTCCGAAGGCTGAGTTAGGACCAATGGGGGATTGTGGTTATGGTAACCCGTTGTCTAAAGTCTAAACCTGAGAGCTAGCGTTCTTTGTTTTAGAATTACCAGTGTAATTAGCACCACTTGGAACATCTGAAATCCTTTCTAATGTAAGGCATGATGTAACACCAATTACAATAATGTGTTTAGTTAGTGGAGTACTATTAAAACAACAATGGACATTCTCTGCAATGATTCAATATTCTGTTCTTTTTTACAGTATGAATCAACATCATGGGCCAATCCCCACCATCGCACCCCCGTAGTCTCTTGGTCAATAAATCTGGGATCAAGATAATTGCTAGCTCCACCACAAACTAGCTCGCTCCCCACTTTTGTGAATCTCCCCTTCAGCAAACAAAGAGCTTTCAAGTTTTCAACATCTCTTTTGGGACATGGATCGTATAGGAGGCATGCATTTCCAAATTCCAACAAATGATCTTATGATGTCATTAAGTCATGAAGGATAGAATGCTACTATGGTTTTTTGTAAATCAGGTCAACAAGAGAATGATGATGATATGCACTTGGATACAAATCCCCACTCACACATTATTATTAACCGAAAAAGAACAATTAAACTTTAAAAATACCATCGAAGAATAGATCCAAATATATATTGAAGACATGTTTATTTTTATTTGCGTCTAAGAATATATCATGGTGCAAAATGATGAATATTTTTTTCTCGAATATTTCCCCCTCGTTTTGTACAAATAATCTATATGTACGACCTCCGAGAGGTTTAAAAAAAAAAAAGAAAAAAGAAAAACATTAGACTATAGTTAGACTATATAATATTTTCTCCTACTTGGAAGGAGTATCGATTTCAATTTTCACCCTTATCCTTGATCTCTCAACAAGTTCAATGAACGTAGTAGTAAAACAACAGACACTCTTTGGTCCACAAATCTAAGCCACACTGGGGATTCTAGAAACATGAAATGAAATGATGAAAGTTTGCCACTTTCACTGTGCCACAGTACTAGCAGCAGAACAGAAGATTGTGCTAAGACTGCCAATATAATTCATTTATTCTATATAATCCTCTTTTGATGTACTCCCTCCGTCCCAAAATTATTGTTCAGTTTAAAATTTTACTTTTAGTACAATTTGAACTAAAAATGAAAATCCAAACTGGACAATAATTATGGGATAGAGGGAATATCCATAGCGATCAACACCAATTTAAGGGAACTTTCACGATAGATTTTGCAGTTTAGCACAAACAATAATGGAGCCATAAAAATTAAACAAGTTTGTTACAATGTAAGAGGATAATCCATACATAAAAATCAGTAGTAAGAAATACCATGAAGATGGATGCCCCGGTATTTAATTAGTACGTATAACATAACAAATATTACACGATATCACAAAATATCCGATGGAAATGAGATACTACTGTTCGGGTGAAGTATGAAGTGTGAAAACGCTGCTGCAATAAGCCATTTTAAAAATGGATTGTGCTTAAAAAGCCTTTTTGACCGGTCTTTTTTTGACACTCACAATACGGGTTTGAATATAGCAAGACCAATGAGGAGAGGGTTTGAACCTGAGGAGACTTTTCTTTTCCCCTTTTGACCAATCATCAAACAAGTTCTAAAAACATTTCTCCTACACACAACAAAACTTCTCCAAGGATGATGATGATCGATGATGTTTTTAATGGCTGTAATTATTCCTTGACCAACCCCTCCCAGTCGATATCATAGAATGATTTATCTCTCTCTGCTTGTTTTGTTTGTGTGTGTGTGTGTTTGGGTAATTTTGGCCCTGATATAAATATTAGTTAATTGACCAATTAATGTCGGGCTGACTAATAACATCATCATTACTTTGCTTAATTTCCATTAACTATGAGCATGATTATTCACCATATGAATTCTCGATTCATTAACAGAATCATAAGATTTGATAATCCACGCCTAGGTCATTAGTTTGTTTGTTTTTTTTTTTTAAATCACTGAACCATGTTAGTGAATGTACTACAACCGTATTATCCACGGACTAAAATCATATATTCTCTCTCTGTTCCAAAATTATTATATAGTTTGAATTTTTATTTTTTTTTAATTTGTACTAAAAATGAAAATTCAAATTAGACAATAAGAGAATAATAAAGAATACTCTGCATTTCATAAAACTGGTGAATGTAGTATCACAGAAGCAAGAGATGACCAGAGAATAATAACCACAAAATCGAGGTACAGGCCTCGTGCATGTATCTGATCTTGGTTTTTCGTTTGGCATGGAACGCATATCCAATGATGAAGATACATAACATATACCAAAACATTTAAGGGTGACAAGTCATAACATAAAATCTTGATTATTCTGTTTAAAAGACATAAGTCAGAGCAGAAGAATTAAAAAAAAAATCGGACATGCTAGTATCTTAATTGGAACAATGATACACATAATGATAAATCATAATATAATATCATAATGATTAATGAAAAGACAAAAAATATATATTGCTCCTTCATTAACTAGCATCATTAGCGGCTACCAATTCCGGCGATCTAACTCGACTAGATGTTCCTCCGAATAAGTTGAAATCATGGCTTGATCATGATATAGTTGATATTTCTTACCAACGTTCTGTAATAATCTAGACTACTAGACAATATGCGTCCTTTCATTGTACAAAAAAAAAAAAAAACCATATAGGAGGCGGTTATGTATTTACACATACAGTACATCAGCTACTATTATATTTCACTATATATATTATTTTTCATCTTAATATAATGTCGACTAATAAATATGAGTTAAATTAATGTCGAAAATGCCATTGATGATGCCCTTTTGGGAAAATTAATGACAATCATATGTGGTGTTCTCATATCATTTGTCTAATTGATGGAATCCCACCCATTAATTCACTGTTCACGCAAATAAGCACCCATTTCCAAATCTGGAAATCTGTACAGTGAGGAGGAATAGAAGCAAAGTGTGAGTAAGAGAGAACCAATAATAATGAACAAAATTACAAGATGCCAAAATGCATGAAACAATGAACATATACATGTATTATGACCAATTACTCTGCCTTGTAAGCTCGATTAATCATCATAACTTACGTCACAGTCACCGAGTCACATAAGTTTCTCGTCTGACTTTTCCACCAAAATCCTACAGGGCATTTGACTCACGTGTGCCCATGTATTTTTTTTTTCTCCAAAGACCAAAGGTCCGCAGTCCCCCCCAAAGCAAAGACCACATTTTCAATCTTTGATGTCAGCTGACTCACCTCATTAAAACACATGAAATCAGAAAAAAAACAGAGCAAACATGATTATTCATCCTTAAAATTAAAGATTACTCTGTTTTAATCTGAAAATGACAAGTAATAAATTATTCTATTACCCGCTCGTGCGCCTGCTACCCTATATAAACCCCCCTTGACGTATTTCTGGTTTGACAGTTGAATTTCCCACCAAAATCCTACACTTAACTTTCTTCTTTACCACCTTCTTCCATTAGAACTTTCTTATAGAATAAGAAGAAGAAGAAGAAGAAGCTTTTGAGTTTGAACTCTTAATTTTGAAATTCTAGCCCCCAATGGATTATTCATTCTTTGACCTTCATCAATATTACTACCATTCATCTCATCACCAGCAGTTTTCTCCAGAGTATTCTTCATCAACATTCAGTAATTCCTCCTCACAACTTTCATCCAACTTCGATTCCTCATCAGCCCATTTCCACAACTACCATAACAATTATAATTATAACAATAATACTAATTCTTACCTCCCTTTTAATGAGAACGACTCTCAGGAGATGGTTCTCGCCGGAGTTCTAGAAGAAGCAGCCACTATCACTGAGCACTCACCCGCAGCATACTCCGGCGGCTATGGCGTCATCAAAGAGGAAGAAGAATGCTTTTCTGGTTCTCCCAACGATCATCATCGTAATTACGAGGACCCCACCACGAAGGAGGAGGAATCGGTGTCTTACAGGGGAGTTCGCCGGAGGCCGTGGGGGAAATACGCGGCGGAGATAAGGGATTCCACCAGAAACGGAGTCAGAGTGTGGATCGGGACGTTTGATACGGCGGAGGAAGCGGCTTTGGTGTACGATCAGGCCGCATTGGTGATGCGGGGACACTCCGCCGTGCTTAATTTCCCGGCGGACGTGGTTCACGAGTCGTTGCGGCGGATGGATTACGGTTTCGAAGAAGGGTGTTCGCCGGTGTTGGTGATGAAACAGAGGCACGCTTCCACCAACAAGAGGAATAATGCTTCCAGGAAGAAGAAGAGCAATAATAATAACGATAATAACAAAGAGGAGGAACAAAATGTGGTGGTTTTTCAAGATTTGGGATCTGATTATTTGGAAGAACTCCTTAGCATCTCTGAGAGTAGTAATTCATCCTCATCTGCAGCTGATCCCTGTTCCTGGTGGTCATAGGTTATATATTATGGACTCTCTGATCAAATTAAGTTATCTTTTTTCAAACATTGATCATTCCCGCTTCAATTGAATTAAAAAGGAGGGAGAAAGCAGAAAAGTAAGAATGAAAATCCAAATTTGACAGTTGTTTTAGGAAGGAGGGAATATAAATTTACATAGATTCTAACTAAAAGTTGGTCAATTTTTGTATTATGGGACAGAGGATAATTTGGTGTTGGAGCTTAGATTGAGGCAGTAAGTTTCGATTTTATTTTATTTTTTCTTGATAAGTTAATTTTGGAGCGTTTCATGTAAGGCAGGGAACGAGGGATCAATGATGCCATAAGGCCCATAAGGCCATGCATCATGTACATATCTTGAAAATGATCCACTTCAAAGTTTTTTAAGGCATCATTTTAGGAATCTAAATTCCTAATAGGGTTGCAAGAAATTTCAAATTTCAGGATGTAAAATCTGGCATTTATATCAACACTTGCTTGGTCAAAGTGGTAAGGTACTTTGGTTCTCTTAAGCGAGGTTTTGGGTTCGAGTCTCGTGAATGGAAAAAGCAATGTTGAGAGAGCTTTCCTTCCGAAAGGAGACCGACCTAACTCGGTGCGGATTAGTTTAAGTGCAATGCACTTACAACACCGTGCGCAGTATGAAAAAAAAATCTGATATTTGTATATAAATTTGTTACATTGCCTTATTGCCCTTGTCAAACTCTTCTCCCTACATACATCATGAGATTATGTTTTAGATGTGAATTATTTGGAAAAAAAAAGAAAGAAAAGGATAGAAATTGAGTTTAAAACATCAAAAAAGTAATAAAAAGCATTAGAAATGCATATTAAAGATAAATAAAACAACTAATTTTGATGACGAGTCCAAACTGAACCCTATGCCTATTGGATCTAGGATTAGGTTATTTGGAGATTAAGCCACCGCCTAAACCTATTCGCTAGGATTTCAAGAAACAGGTAACACCACCTCTATATAAAGAAGTAGTCCTCTCTCATAATTCAGATCTTCTACACCTTCTGCACACGATACGCATACCTCTCTCTCTACTCTCTCAATTCCTTTATTGACTTAAGTATCGGAGAGTTTACCCTCGGGAGACACCCGAGGCTATGTTTTGTAGGTTTTAGGCCGTCCTCCATCTCCTAGATCATCATTGACGCCCGTCCTAAGGCACCATAAAAATCCATGCTCGCCAAGTGGCACGCCCGGTAGGACCGATTTGTTTGGTCCTTACAACCAAATAAAGTTCTTGATACGAAGCTGAAATTTATTGGTGCTTTACGATGATCACCGGGTTGATTTGATGTGCAAATCCATGTACGCGAAAGCCAAAATCAAGAATTTAAAAATTCCCATACTGGCAACCGTTGACTTCCTTCGATTGACGATCCGATCGACGACAGTTCTGTCAACGTTTTTGTCGAGTTGCTCCAGCCGACGAAGATGCTATCGACTTCCATGTCGACCTAAACAAACCGACGAATAGGCCGACAAGGGGCATGGGGATCAAACAAGACGAATTTCAGTAATTTTAGAAAATTTGAAATTCAACCCCTATGCTTTTTATCTTATGTTTTATTAATCCAAATACTTTTCTAATTTTACAGATAAGCTCTCAAGTTCTTCAAAGCAAGAGGCAATTTCGAAGACTGAAGTTTCGAGAGATACATCTCCTCGAAGGGACAAGCATCCCTCTAGCAATGCACTACTATGTACTCGAAGTGTTCTAGAAGACATATCTCGACTCTACTACTAGAAGTGTTCGAGAAGACGTATCTTGACTTTCATAATACCTTCACGGAATCGAGGTAACACCTTCTCGAGTAATCAATTTATCTCGAGACTGAGGTACTTCTCAAAACTTTTTTAATATATTTTTCGATTCTAAATCAATCTACTGCTGATATCATTAGCATATTTCTACTATCATATCAATATATCTTTTTAAGAACGATCAAAGGAGTTCTTCAAGTTACCAATCCTCTCGCGGTAAAACCCTATCACCCTTCAACGAGGAAAACATACTCGGGGGCATAAACAGGGACATACCCTCGGGGCAAGGAATTTGAGGGATCATCCTAATATCTTCTGCTTGAACTGATATTACTCATAATCATCTTATTACCATATGTCATTATATTATAACATTATTTATCGCATCTCGAACATCCAAACATATGGGCTTCCTCCCTTCAAATAAGGAAATCCAGATGCCATCCTCCCAATTCGGCAGTTAGGCGCCATCCTCCTAATTCGGCATATAAAGTCTTCCCCCTCTTAAATAGGAATTCACTATCACAAAGACCTCCTCGAGGCATTCTACTCTCTTTATTTTATATAGGTGATACCCAAGAACAAAAGAGTTGAGGAACCGAGGCAACACCACGAAACTGAAAAAGACATCAACACTTGTAGCATCCCATATTCTTCTCGGCGAACCTCGAGGATATGGCTTGCCAGGGGCACTTGACGAGTCCAAACTGAACCCTATTGGGCCTAGGATTAGGTTATTAGGAGATTAAGCCACTGCCTAAACCTATTCCGCTAGGATTTCAGAAAACAGGTACCTCTCTCATAATTCAGATCTTCTACACCTTCTGCACACGATATACATACCTCTCTTTCTATTCTCTCTATTCCTTTATTGACTTAAGCATCAGAGAGTATACCCTCGGAAGACACTCGAGACTCTGTCTTGCAGGTTTTAGGTCATCCCCTGCCGCCTAGATCATCATCGCCGCCCGTCCTAAGACACGATACAAATCCATACTTCATCATTTTGGTATAGGAATAATTATGACTTATGGGATTTATTTACAGCTACTACCAAGTCGATCCAAAACGGACTCATCTCAAAGGCAAAAAGTATAGTTCAAGTCTCTTTTGTCATTGATAAGTTATTTTATTTTATTTTATTTATTATTATTATTATTATTATTTTTTACATACTGAGGAAGCGTTAAGCTTAAATTACAAAATAACTTCGAGAGAAAGAGTTTTTTTTTATAATTTTTTTTACATATTTGCAGGGTGTTCGCTGTCAGCAACAGTGACTAATCCCACTTGCTGAATTGTAGGCACCTCAATAGATGGGCAGTTGGCCAAAATATTTAAGATTGTTCCATGCACATAGCAAAGTTCGAACCCTTGACTTATGGTTAAGGGTGGAGATGTCCCTTTCACTCCACCACAACCACTTTGGTTTCGAGAAAAAGAGTCTAGATGTCAAAAGATAGACTATCTAGTATAGTGGGAGCGGGATTGTCAAAATATGTACTCCCTCCGGGGCGGAGTACCCCATTCTACTTTGTTACCTCTACGGTCAATGCGTTGTATTTCTACTGTCCACTGATGCTTTAGTAACATCGAATTCTACGTAGTACATTGCTGGGCTGGTTTCGAGTGTTTTCTTCTTGGCTGAGGGCTTTGACTGCTTCCAGCTTGGAGCTGGACCTTTCGAAATCCCAATTGTCCAGGCTGTCCATACGGCCATTATAAGTTGATCGTGTCAACAGTTGATCCTTACCCTCCTTGAAGAAAATATATTGTCAGTTCTTTGGCTAATTATGAGTGATATTGTGGGTGAATTGGGCTTTATTTATCTGGAGATTTAATTATTAAGGCTGAGGACAGATTATAGAACCTAGAAACTGCAAAACCCAGCTTAATTATTTCAATTTCGACTCCGTTTGAAGTCTGGTTCGGACTGATGGGCCGAAATTGATTTAACTTTCTTGAACTTGCGATTTTTTTTATTTTTTATTTTTTTTTTATTTTTATTTTAAACTATCTGTACATCTGTGTTTTTTTTAATAAAAAAGAAGTACTCATTCGGTCTTTATCGTAAGACATTTTGATTTCTCATAACTTTTATTTATCGTATTTTTTCAATTGAAAATAAAACCTTAAAAATACTTTTAAAATTTTATTTTCAATTGAAAGAACTAAATAAATGAAAATAATTAAGAGAAATCAAATTAACTTACAATAAGGACTAGAGGAAGTAAGTGCCAAGAGAGGAGGAGGATGAGGATCACAATTAATTAAACTGTTTTTACAAACATAAAAAAAAAAAGATTAAGGTAGCTAGAGGGTATTAGAGAACAGGGTCTATGAACTCCTCTTCTACCATAAAATTTTGTGAAGTTAAGTTTCACATTAATTTTTCTTTCGGTTAGGATGCATTTAGCAATGCAGTTCATCCAACGATAAACCTATATCCAGACTTTTATAACTTAATAGTATAATTATAAGATCCCACTGAATCCTTGGATTACAGATATAGGAACGCGAGTTAGATTATGTTTCAAACCAAAGCATATAGGACAAGTTACATTTGATAAAATTTCCTCCTAAGTGTTTTGTCTCTCAAAATCAAGCGAGGATAAATCATCAATCCAAAACGAAACTGAAACCACTGGTAAGTGTAATATGTAAATTTGATGATTACAAGCTCAAATTAATTTCTGAAGAGCAAGTCACGCTGTCACGGCACAAACATTGATAGAACTAATAGAAAACACTGCACGTACAAACAGTTGCATAGGTCCCCAGTCGGGCTTCTAACAAACAATTGAAAGCGCAAACTAATTAAACAGAGACAGACATTCGCATGAAATTAATTCAAAGGATAGGCTAGGTTAAACTTATATATAGCCTATTTTATTTGAACGACCAAACAATACAACTTTGACTAATTGCATGGTATTGGTACTCTTGGTAATGGTCCTGTCCTTCGCTGCTGGCAGTCATCAGGAGGTAATCTGGGTCTCACAGCTGGAGGTAGGGGAGGAGGAGGGCTCGGCTTCGGCACGACTACTGCTGTCCGAGGCGGTGGTGGACGCCTTATAATAACAGGACGGTCGGTAGGGCAATCACCGGAAATAGACATTGGGCACATACGCCCGAATAAGAACCGACGACTGGTGGCATCACCCTTGGAAGCAAAGGCAACCAGGGCCAAAAGAAGAATTAAGGTAACTGAAATGGAAGAAGAAGGTTTCATTTGCTTAAAGATTTGACAACCCAAAATCCAGTTACTTGGTGGAATGGTGGATGAACAGTTGGGGGGGGGTGTTTAAATAGATGGAATATTGAGCAAGTTGCTGGCAGCTTCACATGGTTTGGGTTTGAAAAAAATGGCATAACTAGTCTACCCTAGATAAACTTACATTAATCCAGTTAATTACGAGCCTAGTTGTTCACATGCATGTTTAAGACTAGACAATTGGTTGGACTTGCAGACTACCTTACTAGTTGCATAATTTCCCCATTAAATTACGAATGCACCAATCTTGGCTTACATTATGATCAGTTTACTATATGTACATAACCATTAACTTGGGAATGGAAAATGGTTCTCTGCTTCCGGTTTTCTGTTTTCATCACTCACACAATGTCGATATCGAATCTCATTTATTGAGATTTATAGTGTTTAGAAATACTAAGTCAACTTTCAAAAAAGGTCAGCTCTATCCGGCTAGCTCGATCAAAGAGAATGAATGTTGACTTGGAGAGCTTCCTTTTTGGAGGGTTGCGTCCTCAAAGTTTTTATGTATTCATTGTGTTCTCAAATTATTATAAGGTTTAAAATTTTACTTATAATATAATTTTAACACTCAAAATAAAAATTCAAACTGAACAATCATTTTAACATGGAAGAAAGAGTACTGATATTAAAAAAAAAATTCTTAGCTGACTCATGATCATGCATGCATCTACCAAGTTAAGCGCATTGAAAGTCCGCGCACAAGAGTTTAAAGATTATTGCATCCATGGGTCTGATCTCTTCTCAATATTCTTGGAACATGATTGGTATTCAAATGCAAATACAAGCGACAAATATGCATGAAATTGTTGACACAACCATAGACGAACGCTCCCGGGGATCTGACATACAATAAAAAATCAGAAAGCAGATATTGCATTCCTGACCTATAAATTTATAGAGGCGGAAACATGTAACAATGATACAAATATTTAATGAGAAAATTTTGTATTTTGAAAAAATTCTACTTACTTGAATATGTATTAGTTACACAGTAACTGGAACATATTGTTGTACGTGTTTGGCTTCCCTTTAAATCTTATCTTGGCCGAATTCCTGCAGGAATCTTTTTCGACACCTTAGCTAACTTTAGTGACTTTAATTTGTTCCTATGGGAGTATGGGACTACGAATTTTGGCTTCTCCTCAAGTTGGGATTGGAGAAGTATGTATAGTAGGCATTTGAGTTTTTCAGAAAATGTTTTACGTACTCTCTTATTAGGCTTATGACTTCACCACTTTTTACAGTCCGGGGAAAGAAAAACAAAGTTTACGTTTTGACTGCTCAGCTGAAAGAGCGATGAAATTGAACGTCTTCTTTATTAAAAAAAAAACTAGTTCAATCTTCATACATAGTCGTCCTCACCCATTTTAACCACATGATTTACGTAAACGGAAGTAAAATGAAATAACTTTTTCAAATTGAAAACTATCCAAACCATGCTGAAAAGTGAAAACAATATTGGTTATTATAAGCCGTAACACACGTAAATTAATTAATCATTGAGAAACAAAACTTAAATTTCACCGCTAAATGCTTACGAACTTTGAGCAGTAACACTGCTAAAAGCACAGCGCATAAACATAATACAACCAGGAAGACATAATTCAAAAGGACGCGCATAGCTGCCCATTCGATATTGGAACCGCAAATGAACTAAATAGAAAATGCATGAAATTAATTCGAGGGATACGCCAGGGTTTGTTAGCCCTTTTTTATTTGAATGGCAAAATTTTGACTAAGGGCATTGCATTCTTGGGAACCCTGGCCGCGGGCGAGGGCAGTCAGGATTATAAGGTGGTCTCCAAGCTGGAGGTGGAGGAGGAGGGTTTGGCGTCGGCACGACGACTACTGCTGGCGGAGGCGGTGGTGGACGCACTACTGGCCTTGGAAGAGGGTCGTCAGGGCAACCGTCTCCGCCCTCGACATACATTGGGCACAAACGTCGATACAAGAGCCCACGACCTGTGGCATCGCAATGGGAAAAGAAGCCAACTAGAGCCAAGAGAAGTACTAGGGCAATCGAAATGGAAGAAGAAGGCTTCATCTCTTAAAGATTGATAGCCAAAATTAAACAAGTTTAGCTTGTGAAGTGCTTGCCCTGCATGGTGGATGAACAATTGCGTGTGTGCTTAAATAGATGGAAAATTGGAGCAAGTTGCTAGTAAGTTCACATGGTTGGGGTTTGAAAAATATGGCTTAAGTCTACAGAAGATGTTATAATAATTTAGTTAATGCGCGTATTCACATGTTTGAGATTGACACTTGAAGATTCCCTAATTAGTTGCATTACTTTTTTATCGCATTCTATCACCGTAAATCAACCTTGGAATACATTATGTCTTAGTTTTACGATGTGCATAACCATTGACTTGGTGGTGTGGAATCATGGGCACTTGTCAATTGTCATCCCTAACGATGTAGATGCCGAATTTCTCTGAAGGTTTTGTTCCAAGCTAGCAGAAAGAAGTAAATATAACAAAGTCAGAGGTGCAGCTAGAATGCTAGATCCAATTAATTTTGTTTGTTGACTTGGAAAAGCCGACTTAAGAGTTACTATGCATTTGTCTAGCTATCTACTTGACTCTCGGGAGCAGCCTCAAATTAATTTCTTATCTGTTACTTGACTAGAAGTTCTTATTTTAGATTGTCATAGTTATCTTTTTATGGGATGTAGTTGTAGATTGAGTTGTATAGTTGTAGAACTCTATCTTGTGAACTTATTACTAGATGTATTCACCTGTGTATGTATTGGTGAAATCAATCAATTAGTCTGATCATTATACGGACTTTGAGTCGAATACCAACATCCCTTCCTCACATCACATAATTCTATAGTGTGACGTGAAGTTAAACAACATTTTTTCTAACTAACTAATCTCTGAAAACTGAAATTAAAAACAAAATAAGAAGAACATTTAAAATAATCCAACCATGGCCAAGAAAAATATCAATGTAACTGAGAGGATAAAGCTTCATTGCTTAATAGATAACACATTGCTTAATAGATAACATCATAAAAACAGTACTAATAATGACTCTTGATTGAAGCCAAACTCAGTTACTAGTTAAGATTCCGCTTTCTTTCAGCTCATTCATCTCATTAATCAAAATCGTTGTAAGCCACCGATAAGCTGGTGTTCTGCAAAACATACAGAAATACCACAAGGCGTTAGTTTTATGTGTCAAACAAATACAATTCTTATTTTAGGGCGGGAAAAATAACTATATACCTAGTTTAAAAAAAAAAAAATCAACATCATTGTACATACCACCGAAACTTTTTTTTAAAAAAATCAACATCATTGTACATACCGAAACTTTTGGATTTCTGCAATCAAACCAAAATATGCTTTCTGCCAACAGAAATCTTCCGAAGAAGGCGCCTTATGATCGTCACGAGTTGAATTACAATCAAATTGCATCATGGAGAATTCCGCCCCAGCCGATGATGTAGGTAGTTGCAAAATCAACAACAAAATAACTAATGGCAACCCCAAAAGCTTATGACTTCGATTAGTACTCATGATCATATCGTGAACTTGTGGTGGTAACCGGAGAACTATCTGCAAACAAAATTGCAATTAACTTAAATTATTGCCGTATAGATTATGGTGTTTCAATTTCTTCCTGCAAATTCAGTTGAATAGAAGAATAGAAGAGTTGTGTATATATACTTAATTAAACTTGGTGCCCAAGCTTCGGTCCATGAAATTGAAGTATTTACTGTATCTATTTTACGGAAGAAACGTGCGTAAATAACATGAAATATGAGACACTAAAAATTCTGAAATGTTTTGAGAATGAATTAGGAAAAAGAAAAAAAAAACCATATGCCCGCATTATTAAGCAGATAACCAAACGAAAAAAAAAAACAAAGAAAATTGAGGATGAACGCTTCACCTTTTGATGTTGAGTTGTGGGCCTTAAATTGTTGTTTGCACCACTGAGAGGAAGTATGAAAACAGAAGAGGGGAACGGTTTTATTGGATTCTTTGTGGCTTTTCTGAACCGAGATGCGAAGAGGTTCTCAACATGGCTTTTTAAGGGCTTCGACCGCGAAGAGGTGTGACCTGTGGCTGCGTCGGGTATGAAGAAAGATTGTAATTGATTAAAGCTTCTGTGTTTTGTTTCTTATAATCTGAAGTGATACAATTGAGTCTATATTTATAGACATATTACTGAATTTGATAATCAGTACTAACGGAGTTATCAACGAAATAAGCTATAATCTAGGGTTGAGCCATTGTTAGACTCCTTGTCTACAACTACATCTCTTGGGATAATTTTATTTTTTATCGTCTATTTTTTTTGGTCATACGAATCGACACATTGACACCGGCCCTAAAACATCAATATAATTCTGTTAAAAAAGATGATCAACAAGCATACAAGTAAGTGATTGTCCATCTTTCCAAGGGAGAAAGAAGAACCTTTGTACTTGGCAAATCAAAGCCGGATTGTCCAACAAATCTGGAAAAGATTTTAGTGCCTATAAAGTAAGATAAGCTGAACACAAATAGAGTCATATGTTGGATAGCAGAAAGAAAAAAGCATTTGCCCACCAGAGAAAGAACACAGTATGTTAACAGCAGCAGCCAAAAATGGATTTCAGATAGAGAAGCACCGTCCACCCACATAATATCATATCACAATTACAATTACTATAACGTTGAAACCAAAAATCTCCATAAAATAAAAAAAAAACTCGTTTTAGAAGATTGACACGAGACATAAAAGAATGCTATTTCTTCTTTTCTTTTTTTCCCCCTTGTTTTGATTAGAAGAATGTATTTCTAATCTTCAAATTGATTTCAATTCACATACAGAATTCGATTAAATTATTTTCGGATCTGTTTCTCGATGTCGAATTTTAAGTTGTATAAATCTTTTTTTCACTTAGAACTCAAGGATACAGAGATAGGATCCTCCCGTACAGATCCTGTTTAAGTAATGTCGTATATCATTTTTCCCTAGAAACTTATGGAATGAAGAAAGATAAGACAAGAGTAACTGGACTTTGGTTCAACTAAGCCAGCAATTGAGAACTTATATAGGAAAGCAAAATTAATGCGTGTTCGGGTGTGATTTGAAAATCAAAACAATAGAGAAATCTGTGCATACGTTAGTAGAAAAAAAAATGGAAACTTTGGTTCGAGTAAAAAGATGGAGAGGAGAAACATGTCACAATTAATTCCCTTTAACCAAACATAGAAAGTCCTTGGGTTCTTAGATTGAAAATGAAACTAGCTATATAAAATAAAATACAATAAAACACTAATACAAGATCTCTTTGTTCTTCTAACAACTTTGAAGATATCTAGATAGAATTAATATACTAGCTCCCTCTAACCCAAAGAAATAAAAAATAAAAATGAAATTGTCAACATTAAGTTTTGGATATCTAAAGTTGGGTTCTGAAGGAGGCTGGATGCGGTCGTCGTCACCGGCGGATTATTACAAGATAGAGGCACTTTTATCTCCCTTGCTTCCGTGATCCTAAAGCCATTCTTTGCATTTTTGTTGTCTAAAGACACACCATGCACGAAAACAAGTACCAGTATCAAAGAAAGATAATTGTTCATTCAAAGTCTTTTTGAAAATTAAATCGTATTGAGTTTTCTGAATGTTGATTGGTTAATGTTATTTTCCCTTCTTTTCATTTTGACTCTAGTTATATAAAACTAGTTATGACTTTTGGCATGTTGCCAAACTTGCAAACTTGCCTCATTCAATTCGTATTTCAACGCAGAATAATTGGACTACGGTCTTGTGGCAGGTTATATATATGTTCATATTGTCGATTGGGATTGGAGTGTAAGCCGACGAGATAACCCTCCAAGTCTACCAACTCTTAGTAAAAGAAAGGCCAAACTTCAGTCAATTTAGAGTTAAGAAATTGGGGATGGTTGTCAACGGAGGACAAAACTATAATCCATGGGTTAAAGTGTCCATTGTGCACATAGTGTTTGAATGTGATGCGTTCCGATAACTAGTATTATTGTGGAAAAAAGTAAGTGTGGATTCTTCTGATGACATAGCGTTGATTCTTCTGAAATTAGGGAAGGTTCCTTCAATTAAGCTTTTCGATGAAAAAAATAAAAAGGAACTTTATCATTTTTCAGTTTTTTGAGGTTTATTTGAGAGGAACATGATATAATATTGAAGAAGTAAGGATCAGATTTGAGATTATCCAATATAGTAAGGTTAATATCTTTTATTTGATAAACTCCAAGGGAGCAAGCAATTACATCACATTATTATGATTCGTAACAAATTAAACCTAGAAAAATTAAACTGAATAAGGTATGATGAAGTGAATGAGCGTAGCAAAACAAAATTAATGGTAGCTAGTAGCCACAAATCAACCTCTTGATCAAAAGAGATTCGACGATGTTGTTGACGGAGTACACTCGATGCATTTCTACCTTCCAATACCACAAGGAGCAAGAACAGCAATTAATACAAGCTTAAAAGAAAGATTATAGATCTTTTTCGAAGCCCATGGGCCATGGAAGAGAGAGACCAGGGTTTAGTTTTTGAAGTAAGTTATTTAAAGGAAGGCTCTTCCGCTTTTCGGCCTTTCGGTTTTCGGCCGAATTATAGCCAGTTGTCACCTTCAATTCTCACCCATAGTCTTGTGAGCCAGCTCTGCGTGTTATTCAAAGTCAACATAATTATTTAACTTCTAAATCAAATATTGTACTCAACCGTCTTTTCATCACTCAAATCACGAGTCTTCTGATCTTCAGTCGACTCGTTTTTTTTTTTTTTTTTTGTTAAAATAATACTTCACTGTTTAGAAAAATCATTGTTATACTATTTTAACTCAATAAAATGAACTATTCTCTCTGTTCTAAAAAAAATTATATTAGTTTAGAAATTTATACTCAAAATAGCCTTATACTTCCACATGTGCAGTGGTCTTGCAGCATTCAGGTTCTTGATTGCAGTTCTGACTCCTAACCACTGATTGATCAATGTTATCAATTCTTGAGTATATGAACATTTGAAGAACAAGTGACTAACTGTTTCATCCTCTTCCTTACACAAAATGCAATTATGATCATTTACAGTAATCTTTATATTCCTTAGTCTGTCTTTAGTGAGTAGTCTCTCTCTCCATGCTAACCATGAGACAAAACTGTGCTTTGGAATAGAGAATTTACTCCAACAGATTGTTGCTGGTTTGAACTTTTCTCTGCTCCCTCTAATCCATTTATAGCCACTTCTTGCGTCATATGGTTTTTCAACATTTCCTGTCTATTGTCCATTCACCACTGCACCTTTCAGATCATTTTTAAGCGTCATCAAC